GGCCAGCCTCTCCGGCCGCCGGCCTGAGAGATCGCGGAACGCAGTGCGCATGCGTGCAGGCGATATTCGTCTCCCTCTCCGCCCCTTCCGCCCCCTCCGTCACCCTTGGGCCGCCGGCTTTTCTGCGTCCCCTTCGTCTCTTACCTGTGCCGGTGCTCCGATCATCGGGTGCTCCGGTGCTCGTGTCTCTTGCCACCGTAACAACCGTGCCCACGGTGGTGTTCTACGGACTCCCGTCCACAACGATCTACCTCGTTTCGCGTTAGGAATTGTCCAAAAACCTTAGTCATTGTAATAATTAAGATCGCGAGCTCGCAGAGTAAGACAATCGCTATACGAGTATTTGTAACTTTTACAACAGACATCTTCTATCGTGTTGATAATACCGCTATTATTTCAACACATTCCCTCGGTATGCCATTGATATTTTTTCGTCTTTTCGATTGAACTTATCATAACACGTAATTAATTCGTTTCATGCAACAGGTGGTATATAAGTCTATTATGTCGTTTAAGAAGTTATCACGACGCTTCGTTTAAGTAAATAAATGAAACGCGTGAACACGAATTCAAGGTTCAACATAGATATCGTACATCTGTAAGTTCAGACGAACGAACATACGGAAGATATACAGTAGATCAACACCGAGCTAACTTTGTCCGCATTTTTAATGACCGATAGTTATCGGGTCGCAGCGAACGTTACATGTGTTTCCGTCGATCGATCCTGGTGCAGTGTCGATTTTACGATCGACGTCGTGGATCGACCACCCTTTTCTCGTCCCATTCACTTTCGTGTCGCCATTCAGAAACGGTCCGCAGGATCCATGGGTGCACGAAATCCGGTCGAGGAGGTTGGCGCGAGAACGAGAGGTCGATAGGATCGCGACGCTGGTGTCTTACAACCGGTACAACTGGGACTGGTTTTTCGTCGAGTACGGAGGTCGTCGGTCGCTTTTTACCAGCCTTTTAAGCCGGCCACGGTGTGCTCGACACGATAAATAAACACGGTAGCCCTTCTGGACGGCTTCCGCTCCGATTCGATCCTCGATAAACGCGCTTGGCTCGCGACCTATCGCGAGGATTCATCGCGTCCTTTTTCTTCTCGAACCGGAGGATGGAAAAGAGAAAAGAAAACAGTCGAGTATTTCGTGTCGTTCCAAGGCGACGGAAGCTGTATCGAATGGTATTTGCGATTCCTCTTCGAAACACCGTCCGTGGCTTGTCAGTGCCGCTGTCAACCGATGATCGGATCTTCGTCGATATCTGCGATCTTTGTAACGACAACGAGAAAGAGCCAGAAAAAGAGAGAGAGAGAGGCGACAACGTGCACAGGTACACGACGCTACGAAGAAAGCGGCAACATGTTAACCTAACCTAACCTAACTTTTAACAAGGCAACGTAGGGTGTACGCATAGGTGTACAGGATGGATCTGATATTCCGTTTGTAAAATTTCATCTCGACAAAAATAAATGTCCAGGATGAAATACTATTAAATTATGTTCTTATTACTCTGATTCGTTTATAATTGGACGATCGCGCACGATACTCTGACAGAATGTACACTTCGATCGTTTCACTTTCGCCGACTGGACGATATTAATTCGACTCCATTCGTCAGAATTCGCCACGCAAAGACGAGCACGTTCGCATGGAAGCAAAACGACGATGAAATTACAGGAGAATCCGAGCGGTGTCCACGGAACGCGCGCAATCAGCCTTCCAGATAAATGAGCCGTGATCCCAGGTGAGAGGCACAATAAATGACTCTCAAAGTTCCACCGTGTAAAACACCCTTGTGGAATACCATCGTTTCTTCGCGCCAACCGAGAAAATTTAAGAGGCACGCTTTGGCCGTGCTGTCCCTGACAAATGTACACCTTCGTCGAGAACATATTTTTCTTCGAGTCCTTGGCGAAAAGCACTGTCCGAACACAGTGCCGATACCATTAGAATTGCAAAACCGATGATTCACAAGTATATAGAATGTAAATAGAACACGTTACAAAGCTTATTCTATTAGCTGTATTTTCAAGTATGTAATAGAATCACGCATGATTTACAGCTTATAGTTAACTTTCTATATTTATAATAGATTCCCGTTATACTGTCGCTGCTGTACAGATCTACACGCGCGTTCCAAGTGCTCCTCCATCATCGTAATACACGGGGATTCATCGAGCGTTATATCTCCAAGCATTATATCGTCACGCGTTGAATCTCTACGCATTGTATCGTCACGCGTTACATGTTTATACGTTATTACGGCTTAGGTTTTCGCGCAGAGAAGCTGCCGGTTTCTATTCTCGAATCATTGCTCGTCGAAACGATCGCGACGTACATGTTTAAGTCGGAAAGAAGCGGTTACTTGCGTGGATTTCTATCGAGATATTTCATGGGCACGAAGCAAAATTAGTCACACGGATTTAGCCACGGGATCAGGCCGAATGCATCGATTCGTTCCGCCGAAGAGAACGAGAGGCCTCGAACGTCGGCTCGGTAATCTCGTTTTCGACAGTGACGAGTGGCTCGTCAAATTGCTTCGGAATTTCTCAGGAGAGATCGGACCAATTGTCGCCCGTTTAATTACGTCTCTCGCCGCTGATCGAGGACAGGAAATAAGTAAAGATTACGCGAACCTACGAGAAAACTGGACAACAGATTGGTGTAGAAGAATGCGACGGGACACACTGCTATCGATCTGAAAACTTTTGCCTGGGTTCACGAGGTTATCTAGGCTGATTATGCTTGTAGGTCACTTTGTTACACTCCGGAATGCCACTCGAGCCGAACGAGTTCGCGTACTCGGTCATTTATTCGTTCTTTTACTCTTTCAATTGTCGTTACGATTTACTCTGACGATTGCGTAAGACACACGCCAGGCCAATAGCCTTAAGTATCCATCGTTATAGTCGCTGTACTCGCTGCGATCGTTACAAGTAGCATGCTTGCAAAGGAATACGCGGTAGGTTCGAGAAAATGAACCGAGAACGCTCGGAAAACAAGCAGAGAAGATGGAACGAGTGACGTCGTTCGTATTAGTCGCGTTCTCTGCTCAACGTGAAATAGTAGTGTAAATAGTAAACGAAGAAGGAATCTTCGGTCGGTAACGGAGGCTACGTTTCGCTGGCGATACTCTCGATTTAGTAATTAAGCGTGTTGCATGGGAGCTAATTTATGTGATTTTCTCCGTTGAGTTGTCCCTTCGCGGCCAGGAAACCACGCATGATTCATCCAGCTCGAATATTCTTGGCTATACGTAATGTTGCGATCTGTCCTATTTAGAATCGACCACAAAAGCGTCAGCTAAAATACCTGTGCACCTCCGAACAATTACAGTCTTTGGCAGATTCGTACCCACGGAAATAAATCAAGATCGTGAAAAGAACGGTTTTAAAATCCACTGCCAATTCTACCTTTTTCCCTTCCCTGCCTTTTTTTCTTCAGCATTTTATCCGCCGAATATTCTGTTTTTCTACAAACGCGATTCGTATTCCACAACACGCGACCCATGACCGATCATCGATTCGTAGGATTAGGAATGGACCACCTAGGGCTCAAAATTTTAAGCCCTGTCCTCGATCCACGCACCGTCACGTTCGCCATCCGAATCGAATACACAAAGAACCTCGAATCTGTTTGCAATTTCGAAGTTTTCATATCGGAAACAAATTTCACCCTTATTCGGACAAAGGGTGGTTCTCTCGCACGTGAATCGTATTTATTTTCAAGTAGTTACGTCGACATTCAACGGCCCTCCAAAATCGAAAGAGGATTCAAAATGGAGGGAAGAAAGTTGTTAGCTTTTGCACATTTGGCTTTATTGTTTCGTTATCAAACGCGGTGCATCGGCACCGTATTACGCGTTCGCGATGCTTTGGCTTACAGATATACAACGTTACTGGCTTACGTAAGAATCTAATACGGTTTTGTTCTGCACCTATGTCTCGGATATGTTAAAGGCAGGTACAGGAGATACGTCGGTGAACACTAAAGAGGTACGATATAACACACGCTATCAGTAGCTTTCTTTTCCCTTTTTTAGACACAGGTGTTGTACAAAATAGAATCGGTGCAAGAGGGGTGCGATACAGGTGCCAGAATTACAATTTTTTATACTTGCGCAACGTTGTTGCAAGTATCAGACAATTCGTATTTTAACGCTGGAACAACCGAATTCGGTAAAATCGCGGATTTTGGATCTTGCGTAGTAAATTAGAGTGATTTTATCGATATGTATTTTGATTCTTCTCAACAATTTACTTTACTTGTTTCTATATTTGATAATTAAGAGTATAGATACGACTAACGTCGGTTGTTCTAACGTTAAAGCGTACAAGAAAATATGTTAATGAATCGTTTCAATAAAATTTCAAGTCGAGCAATCGGTGATTCTTTAACACGTTACCGTTTACTTATACGTCTCTGCTGCGTATAAATACATTTTCGTTGATCGTTACACGTTCCTAACAAGCCCAATTCCACGCAAGAGATTTAAGTCGAATGTTACAAACGGGACGAAAAATGAAATTCTAATACCTAATTATAAAAAGGAAGATTACGATTATATTACATTTATAATACGTTTAATATCGCCTTTACACCGATTAATTTAATATTTTGCTGCGTTTGGTAAATGCTGCAGAAAGAGATCTTTGCAATTTTCACGAATACTGATTTAACGAGGAAAGAAGCAGAATATTAATTATAAATACTACTAGAAAATATTTCACTAACGATAAAGCTTAATGTAGATAAATTTTTGTAACGCGTTGACGGTAAAATGTTAATACCGATTTATCGAAACGCTCGTCTTCAATGGTATGTTATATCTTACTCCATTTCTTCGTTTTCATTTTAAAGTTGAACTGACGGAGCATTACCGAATCAATTTGTTCGATTCTCAAAGAAATACGCGTAGTTAACTGTCTCTGAATGTCGAAAAAAATACATGGTCCAAGTGTAAAGCAGGCTTCTCCGTCAGGCGCGAGGAATCGTATCCTAAGAAAGCTCCCTTAAAATACTTAGAAAAAACTTTTGCGAATAAGCTTACACGCTAAAAAGTACATCGATCACGATCGAGACACTAGCGAGAAGATTCGATCGAGGCGATCGTTACACATCGAGAATGCTTTTTTTTTTCATTTTTTTAATTTTAATCTCATCCCGCCGATCTCCGTTCTTTCGCGATTTCTCTGTCTTCCGTCGAAAAACAGAAGTAGATACTACTTCCTTCTGTTCGCCAACGATTACGAAAATACGATTCGAGCTGTTCACATGATCGTCGAGATGAAGACGGTGATCAAAGACACCACCATTGTCATCGCGGTGACACCGATGCTGGACGCTGCCGAGATGTTCAACTTCTCCATCAAGTCCTTTGGTACGTCGACGTACACTTTTTCGACGCCGACATCCTTGATCAAGCTGGATAACTCTTTCGCGTTCACCGTGTCGCCATCGCTCGACCAGATGGTCAGGGTTACGTCTTTGTTCAGGTTGGAACTCTTCTCCAGCAGAGACTTGATCGTGGTGACATTATTCGCGACTAGACCGGCTCTTACAGGGTAAGTTATCGGCTGAGACACGTTCTGCTCCTTCACGAGGTCGATCATTTGCTGCACTTGCTCTTCCGTGTACCAACAATCGGTGCTGTCGTTTTTGCACACGTAGCTGCAACAGAGCGCAACGATCGCGTTATGCCGGCTATACAGAGCGCTTCAAAAAATAAGACTTCTCTTTGTTCAAACATTGCGGAAGGGAGGAAGTTAGTTAAGCAGCGAATAAAAAGAATTTTAACGATCTTATCGACATTACTTGGTGGTCCATCCAAGAGACAACGTGCAATTGGGCACCATTTTCGCTTGAGACACAAACTGCTTGGCATCCACCGGCGTCGCGTTCGCGTTCAGCGGTCCAGGAAGAATGTCCGCGTTAAGAAACACGGGGAATTTCATCTGAAATCGAGTAATTCTAAGTTAGTCCGTGAACCGATCCGTCTTTCGAGATAAAATAAGTATGGACAAGTATTAGACGCGTTAGGCTAATTTTAATTGCGTATTCGATGAGCACACTCTTTTTATAGTTTCTTACAACGGAGAAAAAAGTGAGATTCTTCGGGCACGTATATAAAAATATAACGTTCAAAGTTTCGAAAATATCCTTGTATCGTGTTGATCGGTCGAACGATGATCGGGAAAAGCTTCGCAAAGATCCAGAAGCAAAGACTATAAATATACGCGAGTAGGGATACTACTACGTACGTCATTGCGAAGATTATCCAGGATAAGTTTGCTCGCGTTGAAGGCATCGGTGGTCTTGAAATCTAACTTGATGCCCTTGCTCACGTTTTTCTTGTCGATCACGGCCATGAGGAATTCTTGCAGCGACAAATCGCTCTCGGTTTTTGGTGGATGAGCCATTATCGGTATTGTCTGACTAGTGTTCGTGCTGCTGCTGTTCGAATTATGTTTTCCGAGTACCACGTCCGCTTCCAGCATCATGATTTCAGCTAAACAAAGCAAAACATAGTTTTCCGAATTTATCGAACATAGGTCATTTTAAAGTGTAAAGTCTCAAGGAAATATTCTTTTTCGCCTTACACATAAGTCGCTCGTAGCAACTTAAATTGCAAACTGGAAAAAACGAGTTACCGACGTATACGAAGTAAAAGAAAATATGTCAAATCGAGTTCCAGAAGAATTGACTTTTTTTAGTCGATACATTCTTTCAGCAACTCAACGATACGTTCGGTATTTTACGCGCGTTACAGACCAAGCACAAATAGCGTAAGGCGAAGAAGCGAGGAAAAGACGCGAAGAGCGAGAGAAATAGAGATAGAAAATCTGCTCGTTTCAGTAGTCGTAGACACGTGCAACGAATATCGATCACGTTTAAAGAGGTAGGAAGTCAACGATGAATTCAACTTTCTCTGTCAGTGTTAAGTACAACTTTTTAGACCCTCGCTGGTTGAAGGAGGCTCTAAAAACCCTCTGACCCTTCGCACCTCGTTGGCCTTCTCGACCGAGTGTCTCATAAATTTGAAGCTTGGAACAGCGATGGACCAACACTTTAATACAGGATGCTTCGCTGCATCTGCATTTCGCTTTGAAGATAGATAACACGAACTTACGTTGCGTTAAGCTTTGTCGGGACCCGCTATAATTTATAGCACGGAGATTACTAGCTGTATCCATAAATTTAATATGATCGAAATATATTGAAACATATTAAAATTAGAAAATGACTTTAATTCTTAAGCGGTATAGTAAGACAAACGTAAGAAGTAGCAAAAGTTATGAAACAGCCTGTAGCTTCTGAAAGTCGGTCACGATGCTAGAAAGTCGAGTTTCCACGGTTTTCCGACTCGGGTACCTTGGTCTGATTTTTTTGATTAATCAAAGTCGTAACTGCAACGACGGTGACGTGTCTTGAACGCGGTCGCTGAAAAATTAGTAGGCGAAGTTTCAAAGGCCAGTCAGCAATGGATCCGACATTCGTACGTCCTGTTTTCGTCGTCAACTACGCGATCAATCACGGGATTGGAGGATCAAGGCCGTCCGTACCCGAGGACTGACCTTCCTCTAAGGCAGCTTCAACCATTCTTCGATTCTCATTGAGATTCAGCCAATGCCGACGATTCGTTTCTCGAAAATCTTCCCACGTGACCGTGCGACTGTCGTATCGGCTTCCTGAATTTTAATTACGCGAACGAACATCCGGTCCGACGACGAAGCGTGTCCCTAAATATAATTCCACCCAATGACCTTGGATCGAGCGCACGAATATGTTTCAAACGATATTAGGTACCCTCCGAAAGTTGCTGTTAGCACGATCGTATAGTACACGTATGATAGCGGGATGCATCGCCACGTGTTGAATCACCGCTCGTTGTATAACCGAAAGCATTGTATTACCGCCTACTTTCTGGTCGCTCCGTATATCTCAAACGTCTCCCTAATGGCACCGGACCAATTCTCCTACAGGTTTATAGCGTTCGAAAACCGTATGAACTTTCTGAGGCAGCTAATATTTAATCGCGATCGTAAATGGAGTAGAATCGCGTGGCGTACAGAGAGGATCGTTTTTTAAAAGGTCACGACACGTCTGTACGCTCGAACAGTACGGGGTTCGTTAACCAATAATGCGTCGGAAGTAGGAGATCGAAAGGAAAAAGAGTAATGAACGACGTAACGAAAGTAACCGAGGAAATGAATTTTTCATCGAAAGTTCAATCTCATCGTTCTCTACTCGTGTGACAGCTCGACCAACGATAGTTCAATCGATAATTATCGGTGCGATGTTGCTCGAACGAACGTTCGTAGTTCGGCCACGAACTTTTGACACGATTTAAATTTCTATGTTGCTCGATAACGAGATACCATTGCGACGATATTAAAGACGACGGAGCGAGACGATAGGAATCTGAATACGAAAGCTGTTTCAGCGATTTCGAGCTACCTTTACAAAGCGCTCGGATATAAAACGAACTTCAAAGCGTTTCCACCAACGACTCAGTGATCATAAATTACGTTTCATCGGGAAATTGCATCGGCTTCGAAGGATAAATAACTTTTACGTTCTAAACGCTTACGATCGCGTGCGTGTTTCGTACAAATCGATGTTGCGTGGATAATATCGAAAGCTTCGAGAATTACAATTTCTTTAGCATTTCGTAGATCAGAATAGAGTTTCGCTTACCTGATTCGAGCGCCTTGGCGAGATCAGCCTGACTGTTGACGGCATGGGCCCAGACGATTTGCGTCAAATTGCCTTTGATCTGAGGAAAGTAGCTCTTCGGATCCGTGCTGACATCGCACATGGCAGCTTCTGTAACAAGTGAAACGTCGTGTGCCATTACCGAATGCTGAACAGGACACGACCTTCCGCATTAATTCGCTCCCTCGACCTTTGACCCAATATTCGGCGGGGTCGGTCGCTTCGTAATTGAGCGGACTGCGAATTCCTCGCGAAGCTGCGGGGCTGGATGGATCCGTCGAGGTTTTCGTGGAAGGGGTTGGATGGCGGAGAATCTCGCCCTACTTCTCGAGCCTCGTTGTACAACGAGAGATCGATAATCACAATTTATTCGTTACCGTCGTTACGCTCTTCGCTATTTCGGGGGATCGTTTCCTCGTAAAAATAACCGAACAATGCACGACTTGATAGAACTTTCCCTCGTAAAACGTTTCTTCCCTTACGATTTTATTGATCCGACCGTACGAGAGCCGACTTTCTGCGTAGACGATAAACGCGATTGAGATTTTTTCGAAATTTTAAAGCGACGATGGAAAATCGTGCACAACGATAGGCGTAATTTTTCGCCGAAAATGCGAGAGTAGCTCGCAAATTTTACTCGGTTGAATCGATACGGGGCGAACTCCTGATACAATAGTTTCAACTGACCCGTTTCCGGTTCGATAGACACGTGCAAGGTTCGCTATATGCGTTAGTCGATCGACTACCAATCCCCAGAGAGAAACTGGTGATTTTCCCTCTTTTTTTTTAACCGTGGACATATCGCGTATATAGAGTCGTGACATTGTGACCGGTTAACGCGTTGATTGCCGTGGAAGTTATCGTCGACTGACGTCGCTTAACGAAAATTTACAACGCTTTTACCGAGTTGACTGTCACGGGGAAAATTGACGCGTGCGGTCAGACGTACTACGATACAAGTTACTAATATTACGAGTAACTAATTATTAGTTTCATACTTCAATTTGTTAATGTAAATGATCGACTGGAAATTATTACAAGATAATATCGACCACCTTTCTGTACGAGTTATAAATAATTCAAGAGCACGAGTATGACACGATACCGTACATGTATTTCAATGCCTTCAAAACGTACAACTTTGATCGTTAAAAAAATAATTATGACAACCTTGAGCATTCCATACTGTCATCTTTAAAAGTTAATTAGCTTTCTCGTGTTCTATCTAGTCAAGAATGGCGTCCACTTCGGCCAACTTTTAGGCTTACTCGATACGATCCGAGTATACTAAACTTTTTAAAGCTTACTTCTAAGCTTCTATCGTAAACCTTTGTGGCACTATCCTGACTTCTACACGCCTGAGCTTCTATTCACAAAATCGTCTCGGAGCGCGTGTTTAACGGCGACACTTCCGGCCAGTTTATTTCCGAGTCATCGATTCCATACAGTAGTTGGCACTGTTCGAGAATCGGTCGTCGACCATGCTGATGCCAAGAAAAATGCAACACCCGACCCTTTCTTTCTTTTCTCTATCCTGTTGCCCGTTCTTTGAACCACTACGGCTACCGTGGCGAGGTGAGACTGACCTCGAACGAGCACGAGTTACAACGACGAAGCTCTAATTGGCTGAACAATCGATCGTCTGTATCCGAGAGACTCGACAGTTCTTAATAACGCCTCATTCTTACGTAATACTTGTGCGTTTTCGCATCCACGTAAGGACACATCTAAGATTTACGTCGTGACCGTTTATCGAAACTAGTTGCTCTCGAGGCATTGGATTCGATGAGTAAAATTTAATACGATGAAAGCGAAATTGCTGGATGAAATTCAATGTCGCTAAAGACTCGAAATTTGTTTCCTAATGAGTTCCATCGTTATGGACGTTCACCTGTGAAGTAGATGTGCTTTCAAACGACAGCTTTTATTCATTGTCGATAAACTTCTCGATAGAAGCATTAATTATTTGCTTCGTACATGAGAACAATAAACAGGTGTTTCATACATTCCAATTGATGATCATCTTGATGTCTTTGAAATGCGAACGATTAACGAGTGTACCGATGATTGTTCTATTTTCGGAAGATGATCTTGATCAAGTTGCAATTTCGTGTCGCGTAAAAACGTACATTAAGAATACATTTGTCTCGTTCGATCCGAGATACTTCGTGATCGGCAATGATCAAGTTTCGAAATATCTCGATCGATTAGAGAGAACTTCCATGACGAATGGTGTTTTGAAAAACATCCTCTGTATCGAGGTATTAGGTGTCGTGATTTATTGGCGCGCGAGGACGTGTAGGTACTGTAAGAAGAGGTCCATTTAGTTCGATTCGAGACACCGATACGGCTCGTCCTCTTAAGTGAAAGCAGCTCCTTACCATGATAGTCGCGAACCGGATAACCAGCTCGCAGCCCTCTCGACTACTTTCCACGAAGCTTAGACTGCACTTTTGCGAGGCGGATTTCCGCCGGAATTACCTGGATACACGCTGCTATCGAGTTTAGTCCGCTCAGCCGGTCGGACGGCTGTGACTTATAGCCGAGCTATAATCGAGGCAGCTAGAATCCGGCTTCCATTTGCAGCCAAACTATCGGAAATTCCAATTTCCACGTCGAGTACCGATCGGATTTCAACGAAAATCAAGGTCTCGTTTATTCCTGTCGCGTTTCTATATTCGGTACGTTGCATCAATATACACGAAGTGTCCTCGGACTGCTCGCACGGTTTAAAAAATACATTTCGTATCGTAAATATGTATACAACGGGTGGATGAAGTTTCTTCGCGCGAGACTTTCAACTTTGAGGAAAATGATTTTCAACTTTGCATTCCCGTCGCGGTTTGGCTCGGTACAAATGTACCCTGGAACACGCTAGGCTCTCAGGAGAAAATGGAAGTTGGTTATCAGCGTGATATTGTTCAGCATTATATGGTCAAGCGGTACACCGCCACAGGTTAAATCGTCACGCGTTGTATAAGTTAGCGCATTTTAACGCGATAACAAATTGTATAGGTGTTTGTTGGTCATCCCGCATTAGTAGCGATACCAATACCCTCGTGCGTTAACGCGCTTACGATTCGGTCGAAGTTGAATTGTACGGAATTAAATTTTATTTCGTACCGCCGGTTGAAGAACGCTCTACGAGTAACTTCCATGAATATCAACAAGGTGATATTTTCCGACGCAGCATGTTAAACTTGTAAATACCCAATGCTAAATTTATTTTTTTCCTCCTTGTGACCTAACTTTAAATATCGACTGTGCGTTTCACGGCACGAAGTAATTTCTACGAAGGATAAAAAGACCGGTCGTCATCGCGTACGTACGCGACTGACCAACCTTTAAAGACCTGTCCTCGTAGAATCTTCCGGAAGGTCGTTAAACGACGACGTAACTTCTTTACCGAAGTCTTGTTATCGTCCTGACAAGACAACACGAGTCGATAAAGAAAACGTTCGCAACCCTGACGACGACAAAGTTGTTTCGGTAGGATAATACAGCGATGGATTAACCGGTAGAGCTGCTTTACGCGATACCATAGAAGTTAGTTAGGACTGCGTGACAGAAAATGTTCGAAATGTCACGCTCCGTCCACTTCGTGTTGATCCTATCACGAATTCGTGATGTAATTCAGGGTTTCACCCCCGAACGCGATAAATTGAAAGCTTCTTAATTCGTTCTCTGTGCGCTTTCGTAAGCAGCGAACGTCATCGTAAACTTTTAGCGCAGCGAGATTCTCTTTGGGTCTTCGGAAGCTTTCACGCCGAGCGCTCGAATAATTCTGCGTACGTGCGGTTAATCGATACGCGCGTCTGTACGTCTGTTTTCGAATGATTCAAAGGATAGGCCGGATATCGATATCGGACTGCAAATTATTTGCACAGAATGCGCGCCGCTGAACAACGTTTTGCACTCTGCAGAGTTCGATAACACGGATAGCTCGTCCATTTGATGAACAAAAAATTCTATTAGAAAGTAAGACACGAAACCTTATTATCGCTTTACGCGTTGAGATTAGCTTCGATCAGTTATCGTAAATTTACATTTCCAGCAGAGAGAAATATGGAAATCTCTGACCTAGCGTAAGTCGACTTTTCCGACAGACCCTTGACATCTACGTACAACGAGGTATACACGAATCGAGTTCCTATTTCCTTACTATAACGAAGTAAGTTTTCAGTACCAGGTCGCGGAGCCTATCGTCCAATAATCTTTCGCAGAAATTTGCTTGAAATTCTTGGTAAAGCTATTAAAAAATGTGTGTCGGATGCAAAAGACAAGATTGATAGCAGTGTGCTAAGTTTAGAAGCTACTGTACTTTGATAAATGGCTTCGACTATAGCGATCTTGTAGCCGTGACGAAAGTTTCCAAAGAACGGGTCTTGCTGACAAAACCACATTCTTTCAGGTAAATAACGTTGCCGGTAGAACGGAAAGAATCGAATGCTTCTACTCAGAATTCATCGCGCGATTGACTCGAGGTTGAACGCGTTTGTGTAACGCGAGATTAAACGCGGGACCTTCCCATGAACAGATATCGCTCGTATACGCGTGTCAAGATTCATGGTATCTGTGACAACTATGATTGATACCATTCTGGGAATCGCGATTGGTACAGGGCAATCCTTGCTGGTACGTTTGCCAACGGCTTTCGCGAATTTTTGTCACGTTAAAACACGTTTTCCTTCGTGTAATCTGGATCTTGACGTAATTCCAGGCCTTGTGCGAACTTATGACAAACAGTTTCTTATTCTACTTGAACGATATTTCTTTTTCAGGAAAAATATGAAACCAAGTGCCGAATAATTACTAGTATTCTTTTATTTATGAAGAAAAAATGAATAATTATTAGCGGAGTGTACGTATTTAACTCGGCTATCTCGCACGAAAAAAGAAGAATCGTTTCGTGCATTCAGGTATTTAATATCATGCTAAAGGGTGTAGTAACCGCGTGACGCTTTATCATGAGCAAATATTTTCTCAGTGGCCCGTGTATTTTTTTATTTCGTCAAAACTGAAACGCACGGCCCTCGAGACTGATAATACTAACGGGAATTACACCATATGACTCACTTTCCTTGGTATAGATAAGAATGAAGTCACCTACTACCTCCACCTATCACGGTAAACACACCTTCTCTTACGCAAACGAGTTCTGATTCTGCGAGAAGAGCCGCATCGATTCCACGATTGCAATTGGCAGTTTCGGAATTAAAAGCCAGTAAATGCCTTATCGTGGTCCGTTTTCCTTCTTTCCCGTACGATTTAATTTTCCTGCTTCCCGATCAGACGGTTCAATGATTGCTCCATTTGGACAACCACTTTTTTCTTCGTGCATTTAAGGGGATATCGTTTACCCGTCCATTTTGTCAATTTATTTGACGACAACTGGTCAATGTGTATGACTTTTTATTTATATTCAACCAAGTTTAAAGGGATAAATTTACAAGCATTTTTGTTTAAAAAATGCCTTCTTTAAAAGAATTATTATTGATAGATACACTTGTTTCCTGCTATAATTAGCTCCTTCATTATCGCGCTAAAACTCTTAAAAGTTTCCTTTTTAGGTAATATTTCTTAGTCTTGCCATATCTTATCTGCTTTCTTCGTGATATTTCATTATTTTAGTTGTTTGAAATTTTAAATACCTCATATATAATTCAAATGTATACAGTTACATAAGCGAGCGAATTCTTGATAATAAAAATAATGGATTCCTTAAGATATAATAAGATTTGGAGTAAAATTAGAATACTTTTTCCTCTACAAAGTTATACTACAAATAAAGTTTCACCGAGAAAGTTCCTCGTTCTATAAAAATTTATTAAAATAGAATGTCATACTGCGTTACTTTACTTTCCGAAGTCGAACAATTTCTTGTAAAAGTACTGAAATTTCAGAAGGAGATTGCAAGAAGACCTCCGATTTTCGCGAATATCCATTTTCTGCGACGAAATACCTGTGGCCGCGTGCAAAGCTACACTCACACGATTTCTGGTTATACTCGCAGAAATCTAGAATAATATTTACGACAAACGATACGTGGCCAATGCGACGCGTTTCAGTGCTTCTGTTTATAAATGACAACGTCTCGTTAATTAGCCCGCTAACGGCCGCTGCTCGTTTATCGTTGCTAAATAGAATATCTCGTATATATCGATCGTTCGTACGGTCGATTAGGCTAATTAGTACTATTAATATGTTCGTAACGGGACACGCCCCGTTGCGATGATTAATTTTTCACTAATTGTTTGCGTGAGCTTCCCTTGTATCGTCGACTCGAGGATTCGTACTATATCGCGTGAGACATTCAATTCAAAATGTAAGCAATGGATCCTTTTCATTTCCAGAAAGATCTAGGTGTCTGGAAGTTTCAACACTTATTCGATCAAGGTTTTTATCGCTTATACATACAGAGTTATGAAACTCAAAGCACACATAATCATTCTTTGTCATTTGTGCGATGATAAAATAGTACTTCGAGGACGGGTTATCGATTAGATCCATCATCGTGGTTTTAAGATACCTGAAAACTCGTGGAACATTTGGATCAGTAACAATATAACATCCGAAATTTTATATCAAATTTTACGCGATCGAATGCGGAGCCACAACGATATTTCATCCTAGAGAAGAATTTAATTCAGCTCATGATAAAACGAGATTGAACGGTGGCAAAGGTCAAAGGTACATGGACAAATTATCCGAAGAATGCAGATTTGTGCGCGGTGCGTGAATATTCGTAGACATTCAATTCTGATCGATGATTCGACGAGCATCTGAAATTATTTATTTGGTTTGTCTATCTATATCGGACGATCTTGCTTTAATGTTGAAAAAAATGTTCCAAAATCGTTGTACTAGTTATCGGAAAAACGATAATTTCTGCCCGTCCAAAGGAACGATTCGCGAAATAGAACGAAGCGAGAGCAGGTTATTTTCCATGGAACCGACGAAACAGCTACTTGAAGGCGAGTAGAACAGCAAGGACTATAGAGTGCACTAAAAACAGCTTATTTTCTAACTATTTTTGCGCGGCACGTCGTTTGCATATAACCGAGGAATGGTAATCTATTTTTAAGAGCGACCCGCGTTACAAAGGACACCGGTGCTCGGTGAAAAAAGAAAAAGTTGGAAAATGCCAACAGAACGGCGCGCCACACCGCGTCACACCGCGCCACACCACGGGTGGAGAGGAGAAACGCGGAACGAAAGCGCGAGGAAAGTAGCCTAGAGGAGCGGAACAAGCTTTTACGAGCTGAGCAAACCGGGTTACGCCCAACGTGAGTTTGCATTTCGTGATTAATCACGTTTCGCGTATATTTCGATGGAAACGGCAAGCGAACGAGAGCAATCGAACAATCGATGAGTTCAGATTTTTCCAACCGACCCTGGTTACCGAATTAACAAGCGTCAATGTTATTGCACCAGGGAATATTAAGATTTTATTTTCATCGCGTTCAATTACAATTAAAGAGAGTGCTTTACGACGCTCTCTCTTATCGAGAAACGGTTACCCTATTAATCAATATTCGCGGTCGTTAAGGGATGATCGCATGATCTATCGCTCGATTTAACCCGATCTCGGAGGCAGCTATACATCGCCCGCGCAGTATTTCAGCCCGTTAAGGGCCGAATAATGCCATGGGTCGAATTCGTGCAGCATTTCCTTGAAACAGTCAACATTTTGTATATTAGAACGAGATAAACGAGATTCATTTTCGCAAAGTAAACTTCTACCGTATTTCTCGATCAAATAAAATTACTCGCGATCTATATACGGTCACGAGATTGCTTTTAAACTAATCCAACAGAGAAGTGTTAATTTCGTGGCTGTCGAGCCGCGCGAAATTGCAAGGCAAATATCGTTAGCGACTCGATCCGCGACTCTTCGCAACGTTTCGCAAACGTAAAGTTACGATATCACGGTGGAAACGTTTTCTAACGAACCAAGATTTGCAGGGACAAGTCGGAGCAGCGAAATAAGCGTATTCCTATGAGAGCGGTTGCACATTTTTCGAACACCGTGACCCTATTCCGTCAGAAAACATATCCACTGTATATAATCGTAGATTGAAAACGTTAGTTCGTCATGAAAACACTTCCACCGTGGTTAAACCGTTAAAATCGATAACAAGTTTTCATTTGTTTCATAAACGTTCGACATTCACCCTCCGATACGACAAGGCGTAATTACATATATTCGAGCGCGGGAAACTTCGTTTACGTGACGAACGAGAAAACTGACAGAAAGTAGAGAAGCAGTCGTGGAAACGTAAACGGAGCGAACGTTGCAAAGGGGTGCGAAATTTCAACACTTTTACCCCATTTTCGGTGCACTCCGATCAACCGCGACTGTTTCGAGCGCGAACGACACGATTTGTTCGATAACGTTTGAATAAACAGAAACTTACGAAAGGCTGCGAGCAGCAGAAGACTGGTTACGGTGGTCGTGGCACCCTTCATGGTCCCTTCGAACACTGTATACTCTCGCGGAGAAACAGAGGGAGAGAGAAAAATTGAAGAGGAGAAAACGGACAGGCGCGCGTGAACAGCGTGTATAGCAGACGCACACGAGAAACGAAGGTTACTTCGAAGAAAAGAAAGAGAGGGAGAGGGTCAGAACCGGCAGGCGCGGCTCTCTGGTCTAGCTGAACGACACCCGGTCAACTCGGCAGCCACCAAACGACTGACTGTTGTCCCGAGCCGTCGACCGATCCTCCAAATCCAAGCGTGCACACACAATACGCCGAGCGGAGCGGAGCCGAGCTGAAACCGTTTTGCCGCGTGCCGCCGACGATCTTCTATCCATATTTCACTCCGTTAACCCTTCACGGACTCCTACTTGCCTTCGTACGCGAATAATTTGTCGCTTTAAATTGCTTTTCTATTTTCATTTAACGCTCAGTCCTTGCCAACACTTTCTTACGCAGATATTTCTGCTGACTAAAATCTTTTTTTACCAGATATTTTTTATTTTTACAGTGTACAACAATTATTATTGATCAAGAATTTTGTTTAATCGTTACTGATATTTATGATTATGCTCTTCTGGAACATGGGGTTATACGTAGAAATATTTTTGACACAAAATACTATACTTTTCATTGGAAAATCGATACGATTTCTCTTGAAATTTCTTAAGACGGCGTCAAAATTAACGAGTTGCAATAAGAACATGTTCGTTAAAAATCTTGAATAAAAAACATATCTGCGATCAACAAGCAGGTCAAACTAAGTATGTTCATTAGTGGTTCACAATCATGACTATCACGCCGCATGGGACTATTTAACCTAATAGCAACGTATCTAAGGAATTTATGCTGCACTCTCTATTATGTTTTAGTGATTGTACATGAATATTTTTGCGCGGCAAATAATTAGTTATAAATTTGTTAACAATTTGCGGGTAATAATCGATCATCGATGACTAAGGGTCAATTAAAATTTTAGTCGTTGTTGAATTTGAGCTGCACGGGACTCATAGCACGCACACGTGTCCGACACTTCACGGTCCCAGACAGTCAGTGAAACGTGGGGTGAATAAGGACCGTGGGAAGGGGGAGCAGGTACGAGGGGAAGGGCTCTCTCCCCTTTTTGTCCTCTCTCTATCCCGATGAGAAGAGGGGCAGGATGCGTGGATCGAATTAGAAGTCGCTTCGGGAAAAGAAAGGATTCGCAACGCGAACGTTGTTTAGCGTATTCTGGCTATTACACCCTTCCGCTCTACGTCGTTCTTTTATAAATTCAATTTCCGCGTTTCGATACCGTCGGAAATTTCCGTTGCGTCGAGCAACGACTGTAGAGAGAACATCTTTTCAATTTTCGACATTATCATTTTCACTCGATAGAACCACGATCCAAAGATACGATAAAAAAACCGAAAACGTGGATCTCTTCGACATAAAATTAAAGACCTCGAACGCATTTTGAGTTTAAATTTCGAGGGTGAAATAGCGATCGACTTCCCTGCTCTCTGTAGTCGCAGAACTACCCCAACGCTCACTCTAGATTAACATCCACCCTTTCTAGATTTAAAGTTAGAACGCTCTCGTTGATTGGACCTTTGTTTCCGATTATTCGCAGCACCGCGTACACTCCAGAGCGAAACGGAGTCAACGAGAACGTTGTTCCGACGGAAAAATGGAACGAGGAGAGCCAGGTGCCGCCTTATCAGAAAATTGTTCAAATATAACGTGCAATTGATAGCCGCCGATCGAAACGCCAGGTATATATTCCAAGAACATCTGTGTAAACGGTATATTTATGAAACGCGAGCTTCTACCGCCGATTCGCAAGGCGGAAGCATTTTTGTCGATGACTTCTTTCTCTTCTGATTAAAAGTCTCCTTTATTTTTTACGACCGTGCAATAAAATTCATACCTTGAGCCGCGCTTTCGGGCGACAACGGTGATTTAAAACTCGATGAAATTCTTTGCACGAGCGTGAAAGCACGTATAATTAAGACGAATGTCAGCTTCGGCAATTAGCACATACTTGAGATATTTTACTTGCTAATTACACGTTTAATCGAAGCTACGATTGAACCCAGTCAACACCTTCTAGAGATGTACATAAATTACGTATTCTGCTTCTTCGGTTCGACCGTATTCAGAGTCAGTTTTGGATCGCCATGCAATCGGATTCAAAGTCAGACAATTTAGGTCGTACAATCAGGTGTACTATTTAACGATCCGTTATCGGACAAATATTATCACGCAACATCTTGATGACGCACACGATTCCTGCAAGATTATGAAGCATCGTTTTCGTAATAGAATTCGTCGAAAGAATAGCTTCGATTAATCGCGTGGTTAGGTCGTAAAAATCAAGTAAAATTGTCGGAAAGGGTGTGATTATCGTGTACAGAGTAGGGGACGGAACAAGAAGGGTCAATTCCGGTTAATAGGTCAATTTCTCCAATGACCGTCGCACAATTTTTACCGTATTTGTTTGAACCGTGGTAATTGCGGTCTTTTTGATGCTCCCCTAAAGTTTTTTTTTTTTACCCTGGAAACGAGCAGAGAATTGCGAACGTGGCTTCGCGAAACGACTCGCTAAACTCTTGGGAAATTCTTTCTCGTCCAACGCCTCTCGCGCGTTACGACCACCCTGCGCCCGCTCCAGAAGTCACTCGCGTTAGCAAATACGTTTCATGACTAAAAGAGTCGGCGGAAAAAACAGGGAGAAACTGTGACCTGGTAAAGCAACGGATCAGTCACGAATGTTTAACCCTTAAATGCCGCGGCTGTGTTAGATTTCATTTCGCTAACCTTCGCGCCACACTTTGCATTTCTATTCGGTGGAACAAAACGTGTTTTCGAAGACACGACTCAAAAGCAGAAATTTCTCTCTATTCTAGGATTAACTACGATTATCTGAATAAAACATGATACGTTCCAATATTTTATCTATTACACGCGCGAAGAAAAAGGAGGTTGAAATCGAACGTAGTTCGATATTTCAAGTTAAGAGGCGTGACAGATAAGAGAGTCAGTTTTTTTCCGTGGATAACGAAGCATCTCGATCGAGGCGTATGTGTACATCTATATTTATTGACGAGTCTCTGGAATAATAAGAACTCGCGGGGCGTATCTTCGATGACACTCGTAAATTTCCTTCGAATCGCGTTGACGAATGAAAAAAAAAGTTGATTGAAAATCGGCGATAATCCCTCGGGTGTAAAACGTTCACGGTCAGAGTCGTCGCTACTACTCGATATTACCCTTCGATCGCAAACCCTCGACAGATGTTTTTGGCTCGACCCTCGGCCAGTTCGTCTGAACGACCCCTGTCGTCGCGTTCGGAGTTCGTTTGGGGCTCGTATGCCGAACACATGTCGTCTTCGGCAACAAATATTTCGTTCGAGTGTCCAAGTTTGGCCGTTAGAACGTTAATAACCGATCGCTGTGTTCGCGATTCTTAAAACGGAAATAATGGATTCTCTACTCGCGCAATCGACTCGAACACGCGTGCACGTATCGAACTTGATCCCGCTTCTACCTGTAACCTCTGAAAAGGTTTCCGAGCGATACTCTTCCGGGGCTGTAGACACAAGCCTCGAAAATGTTTCTATCGAGCAGCTCGGCGACGAGGTCGCTTGTAAATCGGCCATAACTTCCGAAGCTTGTCCTTGACTCGTTCCCGGGCTGGCTGAGCAAGGAAATGGAAATGCATCGGTGCATTCCGAGTTTTCCAGGTCGACGCTGTCTCCGTGTACCATCTTTGTGGATAATTGTGTGTGTAGGTGGGTGTGCGTGTACGTGTGCACGCGTGCGCGCTGCCTCCACCTAGAGACAGACTCAGGGCCGACGTTGTTGAGATACAATAGAAAAATGGGAGTTTCCCGAGACAATGGGGGAATACTCTCCTTTGTCGCGCGAGCGAAGGTCCCCTCGTCTCTCTCCCTTCCTCTTCCTCTATCTCGCCCCTCGGCTCGACACCCTTCTACCTCTTTTCTTCGTTTGACTCGAGTGCTCCGAGATATATCCCCTTTAAAACCCTCCATCGAATCGAAACGGGCTGGTAGACGCGACAATTAGACGATTCGCTGGGGTATTCCTCGTTGCCTCCAAGATACTTGTGTCGAGCTACTCCTCTTCTCGCCACCAGCTGGAGCAAATCAACTCTACGTTCTCGCTGCTACTCTCTTCTATACTTGTCACCGCGTGTACAATTTCTGCGCTCTGGTGGCTCATATTTTTCTGTGTTTCGAACAGGTTGCGGGTTAGGCTAGGTTCGCGTTGTGCAACTGCTACGCCAGATATTAGTCAATTAGGTGGCCCAATTTAGCCTACTTTCTCAGACCGTTCGGTACTTGTTGATAGATACGTTACTAATTAGTACATGTACACTGACAAACATGTTAAGCTTCCTCACGAAAATGAACCTCCAGATATGTCTCGATATGTACATTTCTAAATTTCCGAATCGCTGAAAACCTGTATCCCTTTTAACTCAAAGTAATCTCGTTGCAATATATCGAATATAAACAAAGTCCGCTATATCGGCTTACCAACTTTCGGGTGCAAACATAAATCCATATTAATTGGTAACTGGTTAGTTGACGTTTCAATTCCATTCAATTAGTCGAGTTTTGCGCGCGGAATAGTTGCTCGCGTGCCTTTTAGCCCTGAGGTTAACACTTACGCGGTTATCCGCTCGCAATGCACGATTGCACTGAATAATTTACACGGCGCATGAATTATTTTCTGAATGCACGTAGTTCGCAACGCTGCGCGTCTCGTAAAACGATACGGCACTCCCTTTATCGCGCTTATCGTCGGTTTGTATCGGGCGTCGAGTAGCGTCTCTACGCCCGGGTTCAGGAGGGAAATTACGCTTCTCGAGACACGACGTTGCTGAAAAAGACGTTGGGGCTAGCTCGATACGTTCGAGTGCCCTTCGACGACGATTTTTAATCAACATCGATCGGAACTTCCGGATACAATATTGCCTCTCCAAACGGCAAGACAAGCATATTTCATCCGTAACTGACACGATGTTCATTTTTCTCGCGTACCAAGTACGACAGGGTTTGAAAAATTTACATACACGGTGTTGCTTAAAATTTAACAACTTTCGTCAAACGATTTTCCGTCACGTGATTAGTAAAACATCCGGTTGCCATAAGGGTTTAAATCTTCTCGCGATTAACCGTACTTTTACATGCTCGTGTTACTGATTGCAGGAACAATGCCGTATCACCTTGTTTAGCTGTCGTGGCGCGGAATTATCCACTTAGAAAGATTAACGAATTTACATGCAGTGGATTAGAGGTTAGCAGAGAATATTATGTAATCGTCGATCGATACACGATGACGTGTCATTTACCTGTTGTTGAACAAATTACGAAACGAATGTCTTGGAGCTAATAGCGATCAAGAATTGGGGTAGTCCTAGGTGGTCCCAGTACGCCTAAGGCAGAAATCTGCTTGAAAATCTTTATTGATCCCCGGACCAAACTATTTCTCACAGTATATATATATTCTGTACACCGTATCAAAATATCATCACTGACGCTATCTAACAGCGAATGAACGAAGCAACTCAGCAGAAGATAGCGTTTTTTGCAAAATGTGTGCAGTTCTCCGCCTCCGACATCATGAATCATCTTTTATTAATGCCTCATAAAATGGACTTAATGCAGTTCATAAAATAAAAAAGCTACAGGAGTATGTATCGCACGGGCACAAAGTGATATCTGTGCTATAAAAAAGCGATGTCAACTACACTTACGATGTCGCTTACAGTGCAGTTCATTTATCGGCTGATGGTTACAGCGTCTACTGTAGCGGCCATTTTGAAATGAGAGAGAGAATATTTTATCATGGAATTAATTTTAACGCTTTAAATGAAGTGTAACAACGCTATGTATATCATATTATATCCACAGATCACTCCAATTATCTTAATGGAATGTACAAGTAATCTATACTGATTGAGCGTACATACGAAGTAATTAAAACGGACATATATCAGGATCAGGCGTTAACACGGTTTAAATGTAATCGATGCGACAAATATCACTGAAAAAGAACAAATTTTTTTATACAATATAAGATATCGTGTCACCGCGATGAAAGTTTCAAATTTTTATTAAAATACAATACAAAATTGCACGATTCTGGGAAAGCCAATATCACTGGCCATGTACATATTTTTTGTAATTTATTATAAGATAGGTTTGCAGTTACGCAATCACGAAACTGCACTCGACCGAATCGTTGTAACTTAAACGTTAAACGTGCCACATTTATTTGTCCACGTTCGTCGACACCTTACATAAAAATAAAAGGCACAGGTGACACTTACTTATCCTAAGTTGGAGGCATAGCTGTACACTTGATCGCGATTATAAAGTTTAGTACAAATTGAATGTTCAGAACGGGAGGAACTGTAATTGATGTCGACGATAACATAATTGTTTATCGTACAACAATCATCTACACGGACGAGTGGCTGATTAATAGCCACGGAAATTAGGCATCGTCGAATCAAGGCGATTCGTTATCGCCGTTTAATTCTCAACGATCGCGAACGATGCCTACGATTGAGCAGTTTCTCTTGGTCCCATCAAAATCTTCTATTAAAGCTTGGTACCAATCGTAAACTAACGATTCTTCAAATTTTCATCGATACTCGATTCTGATCGTAATTAAAACACCAATTAAAATTAAAGCTTGAACCATTACCCTTTTTGTCAGTCTTACCCTCGATCGAACGTTGCTTTCGAATAAAAGAAATGAACAATAAGAAATGTATTATCTACTCGAATCGAACTACTCAAATGTTTGATCAACGATCAAGGTTTAATCGTTTACAAGTCCTGGCATGTTCTTTGCCTAAACATGAACACATTTCGCGCTGTCCCTTGTTCAAAAACAGCTGATAAAGTCCCTTTACAAAAATTACAAGTTTCTTGGTTTATGTACAAAAAAGCGTTTTAAAAATGTGTGTAATTTCGAATGCGTGACTCTTCGTTTATGAACCTCAGAGAGATCAACGAATTCCTGCGAGAGAAACAACGATGACTGTAATGTCTATTCGATCGCGGAAATAGAGGTTCCTTCATCGCTCGATTCTATTCGAGTCCATCGACAGCTCTGCACCCGTACTCCGTCTACTTTTGGTTCTGTAGCTTCGACTGTAGATCTACGTTGAAACATTCGATCGAACTTGGATACAATTTGCGATCGTTTCTTACATGAGAATCTTCGTTGCTGCTATTTTTGTCCATGTATACCAGTTCCGACTTCTCTCCAGAACCTATCATTTCCAATTTGGTGGTCTGTGAACAGACGATAAACCTTCAGCGTTCAGCCAAATGGAGCGAATATAGATATAGAATGTTCGACCAAATATTTGATGTTATGGTAATGCAGCGTAGCGTGACACAGTGTAGTACAGCATAGCATGGTACAATAAAGCATAACGTAATATAGAATCGCGTCCTGCAGCGTTGCATAATGTTGCATAGCGCAGCGTATCGTTGCATAGCATAGTGCAGTGCAGTACTGATCTTCATAATATGGATTGGATTTTACGTAATAAGCGAAGAATAATATTTACCTTGTCACTAGTCAGTGTGTTTGCGCGTTGTCTGTTTAACAGGTACAATAGCGCTACGGTGAAAATTATTAGAGACCCAACGAGAATCATGATCATTCCGACATACATGCAGACGTCGGGGAAAGACAGAAGCTTTTTCAACTCGTCGACGAAACTCTGAGTGGCTTCCACATCCAACGAGAACCATAATACTGGGAAATATAAGGTTGGGACGGATCTGAAAAGTCTGCAAGGCGAATTCTTGTGAATTTTACGAAAGTATTCATTGTTCCGTACTCTGTTGCTATTGTATGAACGAATTCGACAGGCACTAATCTCAAACGAACTAAATCGGACGTTCACTTCTGATCATATGGTTGGAAACGTACTTACGACACTGTCTTTGATGGTTCTAGCAGAATGTTGACCTGCAATTTGGCGGAAACTTTGAGAGGAATTCCAGTCGTCTAAAAAAAAAGTTACTTTATGATTCTCCGGATCGGTGTCACTTTAATTAATAATTCTAGTTATTTCGATCAATTATTTCTCGTCGCGTGCTTATCATAATTATTTCGACGATAGTAGCTATTTTCTAATGTTTTAAGTAGTACAAGCAAATATCTCGTATCGATCTGAAATCGATCACGTAACCAGAAAATAAATAGGAATGAATGATAGGAATTACAATCTTTACATAACAAGCGTGACTTTCACATTTCTGTTAAATAGTAAAAAACTGGAAGAACCCTCGTATTAAGGAACCCTCGCACAAATCGATCGAAGTAGCAAGTGAAATTTTTAATGTAATCGATAGACTCACCGGTTCGAGGGTGATGAAAAAGTCATGATCGTCTTGCGGATCGACCCCATTGATTCGTTCCCTGAGGCTGGGATCAGCCCTATTGAAGTGAGGTAGGCTAATAAACACAGGTGCACCGTATCGACACGCGCTGACGTTCATCAGTCCAGCAGGGGTGCATCTTCCGTTGCAAAAGCAATTTCCTATATTTACAACGTCCGGATCCTCTTCCGGAAGATCCGTGCTTTCCGCCGAGTGATCGGCGTCGAAGAAGTCTTCGGTGGTTGTTGTCTGCTCGAAGTATTTCGCTTGATCATGAGGGTAGCGTCTTCTGGTGTTGTTTCCCAATGTTTTCTCGCTCAGTATATACCGATAACCCTCCATGCCCATGTGATAAGTCGTCTGTGCGTAATCGAATGTCAATGGTCTGCGAAGAACGGAACAGTAACGATGCCGATTAATGATGGATGGGTACAAAACAGTTGAACGGTTCGAGAGTCACGGTGGAAAAGTCATAGCTAATTTAGCATACTATACTATGCGTCGACAGAATTTGTTTTGAATCCGCAGGTTACAGAATCGCGAATTATCCGTTCGATGATGCGTTCGAAAGTGAACGCTAGCAAAGTTATTGACTCCACCTACGGAGTTGGTCGAGTAAACAGGATTAGCAGACGATCCAATTTACGTGTCGCGAAGGTTAATATACGGGGAGTGTCGGAGAATAACAATTGTTCGAGGTTCGCCGACGCTCGATTTAACCGTTGCGAAAGCAGACGAAAGTAATTAGCGTTTCTTTCTCACGAACGTGGCTCACTGACCTGCACAAGTCGCCGCTGAACAGGGAGATCTCGTCTTTCCGGCGATAAGGAGGCCAGAATTCGCCGGCACTCCCTTCTATCACGTTGCACGGGCTCTTAAAGAATTTCGTCGTGTCCTTGTGATTCCACTTTCTCAAAACTCCGAATTGGCTGATGTCGTGGACACCGGTGTCCATGTTGAAGTGCCCGTCGAATACCGTGGACCCGTTTCTCTGCAAAGCGATAACGGGTTATGGGGGTTGCGTATAACGATGTTAATTCTCAAGTATCGTTACCGCGATAACTTGTTTTCTTATTACATCGTTGTCAACTCGTTTACGTTCCTTGTCATTTTTGCATGTTTTTCTTCTTCTACCAGCGTGATTTTTTAACAAAAAATGACCTCACTCGTTGATATTAAATAAATTAAATATTAAAAAGGCACAGATATCGCGATCAACATTTTCCACATTTTCGAGTTATCAGACGCTGCACGATAAAGAAAAGCAGATAAGGCCAGGTGTGACTGTTTTTTTTAAATCTTTCGTCGTATTAAGCAATCGACAGTTTTCTGATTTACTGATCGAAGTTTCCCTCTTTTTTGGAAAGAGAAAGATAGCAAAGCGAGAACAGAGGATAAGATTGATTGATCGTAAATGTTGTACACGTGACGTAACAAATTAATACATAATATGCTTCCCATTGCTTTTCATTCGTCATTCAGCGACCTACAAGTGACCCGTCCTATTCACTAGCAATTTAAGTCCTCGCTGCGAATAATTTGTCGTCCGCTACAATGCCGTTGCTGTGGTAGCGCAAATCGCATCTTCGACCTTCTGACCGCCCTCGACACAATTAAATAAACAATTTCAGCCACCTTCTCCGTCAGCCGATCGATTCTCGAACGTCTGAATTCGTGGTGATAGGTCACGAGCAATGTCGGTCCCCGCCACTCTCGTTTATGGATGTACGCTTCGTTAAAGCGAATACAATGATAATGAATTCTCAGCTTATGCGTTTAAAAAATCTGTCGACGGTTATTTTTATTATCAAACGGTGCAGAAGAAACCGGCATAATATATACACCGAGTACGTTATAATTTAAAGGACACGAAAATATTTATAGAGTCGCATAATGTATCGCAGATGGCGGATTTTCCGTTACATTTATTGTCTACCGCTATCGAGACACAGACTGATGTTTTTATCTTGACGATTTTACCGTAGAAATGATAAGAAAATCGTTGCTGAATGGCTAAAGTTAAATGGTATAATCGAGCAAAGTTATGTAATTTCTCATTAAGCGATTTTTTATTATTGTTCTTTTTCGAGCGCATGTTTTGTCCTATTGCGCACTTATTAATATTTATAATAGGATATTAATCTGTTAATAGGTGTATATTTTATAATTTGTCAGCAGCGAATTAACTTGTAACTGTTTAAATCGTAAAACGTCTGGTAACACGATAACGATAACGCAACGTGTTACGTGATTTTGCGTTTGTACTTTGGATACCCTGTACGGTTATTTTAAACTTTGAGTAGAGATCATTACTTACCATATAAAACCAACCGAACTTGTCAAACGGTGGTATGTCCTCCCCCATAGCTGCTAATTTTCCTAACCTGATGAGAGAATCGTCGTAACCGGAGAACAGAAGTTCGTCCACCGTCTTCGTGACGTGTATCTTCGTCGTGGTTAACATGAACGACAAAGTAGTTTGAAACGTGCCGTCCCAAAAACGTACTTTGTGTTTGGCCGACTGAAACAGGGGTAGAAACGATGAATATTTACTATTTGTCGAAATTTCTTAGCGTCGGTGGTCATAGGGAAATCTGTAAAGATAGCCTCGTATGTTAGTATCTTAAATTTGGTATTACCCTTTCGTTTCATGAACAGTGGTACGAATTACTCACTATTGCGACGGTGTTTAACTGCGTGATAGAGTCATTCAAAGAGCCGTTGGTTAATTCCGGTTCGAAGAACCACCACCGTCGATATAAGTAGCTGACCGTATGATTCTCGGGATGGAACACCACGTCTGCCTTTTGCCTGATCTCCCTGAAATTCAGATTTCCACGCGTGAGTCGAGAACGCGAAGAGATTCTGATCGGTGTTTGCGATCAACAGGTCTGCTATCTTCCGTCAGTGACTAATCGCGAACTTGATTAATTATAAAGCTTCGACCGCATTTCGATGCGAAAATAGTAGCGTCAAGCTCGAGTTTCGCTTTGTAAACGCAACCATGTAGCGCGCTTTCGTAACGTTGTTTACTTTGTCATTAATGAAACGCAGTTACTCAAGTAGCGTATTATTACACGCGTACACGTAACGATGAACGGAAATCAGTCGATGGAATGATAAAAATCACACGAATAAATTGGCAACGTGTAGTTCAGTGAATCGACTTCTTGTGACGAGTAAAAACTCATCAGTTTTTCCTTCGGATATACTAACAGTGATAGTTTGTGGCCGAGAAAAAGTTTGTTTCGTTAGTTCTTATTACGAATATACAAGATCTGCGAATTGTAAACCACGTGTCCTGCGCTGACGCACGAAATAACCGGACTTTATAAACTCCATGCGTTGCAATAGTTAGCTCGTAAAAATTCCTTTGTTGAAATCAATATCGCACTAATCTTGTATACAGGTTTTCGATTTATGTATATCGACCTCGATGGAATGTAATCGGTCCTGGAGTTTTGGGTTCCTCGGAGAGGATTTTACATGAAGTTTTCCGCGATCATCTATCACAAAAGTAGCATTACAATATCGACCTTCGATGGAACAAAAGAATCTGGACAACCTGTTCCACGTTTCTAAATATACAACGCTTTCTTTACGACCCATGACCGTTCCACCGTTTTAGAGGTGGCGATTTGATTATTCATTGATACTTTATTAGTAAAGAAATCATCGAGGGTTGTAACGCGTGTCCAAAGTTACGTAAAGACGGTTAATCGCGTAATTATTTTATACGAGCCACCTATGTCGTTCAAGCACCTTCATCGAGATAAGCAGCCAGACGTTCATTAACTTGTTAATTAAGGATACGACCGCTTCAAGCTTTTAATTGTTTAATTTGCCTTATCTCTTTTCTTCTCTTATTTTATTTTCATTTGATCGAATTATACTCGTGAAACCATTAACGCACTCCCACACTTTTGTCTGGACAGAGACGAGTTCGTTAATCGCTGCAGATCTATTGTGAAAACAAAATGATGCAGATCCAGACACGATGCAGTGGTGTCTAAAAAACGTAGTCGACCTTGGTATGCATCAACACAATAATAAATACGACTTCTATCGTCGATACTTAAAGAAATAACGGAACTAATCAATCTAATCAGCACTCGGCGTGGACACCCTGCACAGAACAACCTAATAACTCTTCTTCGTTCACTTTTTATTACTCGTGCGTTCAGTTAACAGGTTAAAATGTTAACATCTCGAGGTTAACTATTCCTTTCTTATCGTGATTAGACAGTCTAATAGGCTGCCTCGTCTTCGAGACAGTTGTACGTAGCAGAATTTCCATCTGACACGTACAGAATCTCAACGAACATGCTTATCTCGATAAACGATTCGAACAGTGAGTCAAAGTTTCATCAAATAACGATTCATTATTGCGCAACAGTTTCCTCTTTCGTTGCAACGACACTTTTTTTCCTCGGATGATCCTACAATTTCCGTAATGCAGAGAGAAACGAGGTTAATAGCTAATTGATACTCGAAAGCGAATACCGTGTTTTCCTCGCCACAACGTACCGTGCTCCATCGAGCCTCTGGGATTACTCGTCAAGTTCAAGTCTGCCACTCAGATTTGTATTCGTCCCACAGATGTTGACGAATATAATTCACGTTGCAACATTACATTTTCGCTTGTTATCTCTAACTTACTCTACGTGCATAGATGCACGTATTAATGTTACCGAGTTCGCGCGAATGTCACAAAAAGAAGCCATGAAATTGTATAATTTACATGCGTTTGTATGTTCATACCATATTTAGATATGTCATACGCACTCTGTAACATTACCTAACGATATTAAAGGTCGCGTGCTCGTTATTAAAATCAAGGAGATCTCAAAAAACTCATAACATAATGGCTTCTCCGCGATGACGAGAAAAAAATAGAATATTCCATACCGAAACACGTAAGGTCCAACTTCCACGAGGTTAGGCTTCGTCCCTTTAGTCAGCAGTTCTTCCGGATTCGTCCAGTTGAAGAAGTGAATCTTTAAATACATCGGTGGCAAACTGCTCGTGTCGTTCCATACCTCGAACGCCTTTGACGTCGGTGTCAACGGTAGTTCCTATTAACACGAGTTGCAATTTATTTCATTACTAAAAAGCACTTGATGATATCTCGTTTTTTTAGAAACGATACAAGCATCTCGATCGTATAAAAGCTTCGATCGTTCAAGGAATGAAATTAGGATGTTTGTTGTTCGAAATAGCTCGATACCAAACGCGCGCTGAAAACGTCGAGCCACGCTTATTCGCGCCGAGAAATTATTCGTCTAGCACAACTCTGAAGAGATACGACGATTAATTGAACAATCAACCACTTTTCCAATCGTGTTCGGAACAACGACGAGACTACAGCGAGACCATCGCCTTTGTTTCGTATTTGAGGTCACTTCGGGAACAAAATCTTACCTTTGTCTAACGAATTCTTGCGCTCTATACTTCGGAGAAAAGATTTGCACCTCGAAATGTCAGAATCACTTTGGGGCGTAGGGACTTTGTGATCCGGGGTTAAGTTCTCGTTTAATTTTTTTCTAGGAGTGTTTCAAAAGCGGAAGCAGTGAAAGTTTCTCGCTACACTTATCTGACCACCTTCTGTATTGTACCTCACGTAAGATATTGCATAACATCCTCGTGTGCTCTAATATTCAATTCGTCTCAAAATAAATTACTGCCTTTAAAGACCTTAAGTTCACTTAAAATTAGAATATCACCGTGGAGTATACAGCAAATTCTATAGATATATACATAACAATAGATATACGGATGTATAGATTTGCATATCTATGAATGATTTTAACAACAAACAGATATTTTTGTGATTCCTGTCGTACATTGTACACCTTGTTAACCACTGTTATACGACGCGTAACTTCGATAGGTGGTTTTCTACTTTGCGTATTAATTGCAGTGCGAATATAGTTAATTTTGTAGCGTACAGCGTGTAAGTCCTCGAATACAATTCTATTAATACGAGAGATACGAGAGGATGTGTAATTAAAGTTAACAGTGTGCGCTATCTAGAATAAATTTAGATATCGAAGTATTTCCAACGATAAACTTCAAGAGTTACTTTATTTTGTACAACTTTCAATTTTTCAGCAAATCTGATTCTTATTTCCGCGCAAAGTTAACATATATTTTGTTTATAGAAATTCCTTCGTAATATTTAACAAGGCCAATTGCTACCAAAGAGATAAAATACCGTTGAGGAAAGAAATTTCCAACCTCTCTGAGTTTCGAGCAGCGAGGTAAATATGTTTAAAAAAATATACCAACCAAGATAACCCAGCATATCGAGGCTATCCAACTAATTCGCTTCGTAAGAAGAAAACAACAATACCGCGTTTTTAAGAAAAAGTTAAGCAATTTTTGGAACTCGTCTTTCTAGCTGATGCTAGATATACCGCATTTTAACTGAATTTTCAACGTACTCATGTTGGATATAAGTTATCTCTGCCGAGTGGCAGTGTGTTCAAAACCTTTTTTGAATTCGACAGACACCATACACGATATCTGACATACTCGAGCGTTAACTAGATATCTTACTTTTTGGAGGATGTGGTGAAAGATGGCTGGCGAAGAGAAGTACAGAATGGTGCCAGACACGATCAGTAACAGACCGAAGAGCCCAAGGCCGAGGAATTTGTTGGTCCAAGGCCTCATGATGATCGGAGTTTCTGTACTCGCGTGGTTGATCCTCGCTTTCTCAGCATGTGGCTCTTCGACGGCCGCGTTTCGTTTGCTCGCCGATCAGACTTCTGCTCCGTCGCACTTCCGGTCGGTGTACACGACGTTTTAGAGCCTGCAGCGAGATAAAACGGAATCAGCCGCTTATCGAATTACGGGATGACACCACGCTTATGTACGTTTTGTTTTGTTAACACGTGTTGCAGCGTGACTCGTTCTGACGCGATGGACCGACACATCGTGTGTTACAACGCCACGCGGTGAATGGTATACATCCATGGCTAGTCAATCTTAATTTCGAAGAAAAAAGACCGAACGTACTGTTGAATCCAACAGTTATCTATGGTTCTGTGACAGCGTAACAAGAGTTTATTGTATTACAAAAAGAGGAAGAACGATCTTCGAGCTCTTTTCGGACACACGTTGGTCTTTTTTTAATTCGTTCTATACCATCTACCGGTGACCTACTTACGTTTATTAATTTGTGAGTGGCTGGCTCGACCCACGCGATCAGTTCAATTTGATCAACGTAACGCGTGTTCGAAACTTTGCTCTTCAAACGCGTCGAATAAGAAAACAAAGGTTAATCTTCGCTTAACGAGTTTATGAAACAATGAGATCTTCTCGTTAATGATTTTATTGCTGCGTGATTAACGAACGTAGTATTAGAGACAGATATAATTGTGCGATCGGAGATTGATTACTCACAGCGGGAAAATATAGCGTTTTTTAAAGATATCCCCGCTGTAAAATGTAAACGACGTATATGCGACAAGGATACACGCGCGATTTACGATTGTTACGTTTCACGAATACTCGATGCGCTTAATCAATTTATATCGGTGTTGGTGAATCGTTAATAACGCCTTGCTGAAAGCGGAGAATACGAGCAATCGCGTTTTATCGACTCCGCGTGACGTCGTTTCAAACTTTTTCAATACGACAGCGTCCAGATTTTAGTTTTCAAATTGCAACGATTGATTATCATAATTGCGGGATAATTATCATGCGAATTATACATACTTATGTAGATAAATGTATGCAGCTTTCCTTATTTAGTATGTTTCTGATTTTTAGATAGGTAATATTCAATATTATAGCGATAATTAAGGAGAAAGATATTGCATGTCGGTTTATTTGCACGAAGTGCATTAAAAACTTGAATGCGGAAATTCTGGAATAAATTGCGATTTACGAGCTTTTTACCGTCGTGTCACCTGGCCGTGAACCATGCACTCGTACGAACGTTTCGTAGTCACATGCGTTATAACCGCCGTCTCAATCGGATACTTTTATCGAACCTTGATGCTCCAGCCACTGTTATCTCGCCCGCAATGAACTTTATCCCGATCTTTTAGTGAGTTTTCGTGAGTAAAAAGATAGGGGTTCTCGTAGGTCGAGTTTATCGCTGTGCTCTTATTTCCAAAGAAATATTGGGAATCCTGTATTTGAGTTACACTGATAATTTGTTTCCTGGCGACGAGGAACCCTTGGACTATTTATGAGATAAGCGAGAAACGCGATGTAACATACGAAAATTCATGGGGCACAAACTTGAGCACAGTTTGGAAAATTGTTGGATTCGGTGGACAGATCTAGCGTGGAAACTGTGAAAACAAGAAAGCGGAGCAAAGACAAATTTACTGCTCTTTAGCATTGTAAAACGAAACAACCAACGGTTTATGGCGTACAAAACAATGAATGCGAGTTTGCGGTCGCTCGTTACCTGGAAGACTTTTCACGAAAACTCTTGCAGTCGAACAGGAGGAGTGCCGTGGAAACTGGCCATTAACAAAGCGGAAGAAAATGAAATTGATCGCGGTTTGAAGTAGAAGATATCGTGCATTCACGGGAGACAAAACTACCCGCGTTTCCGAGCGCAATCGTTTCGCTGGAAACTTTCTAAACGAAAGCTTTCAGTTCAACGTAATAAACAAGGGGATGATATTCGACGTTCGGTTGGCTGGCGTATCCGCTCGTATTGTCGCGAACGTTGTCGTGTCGTGTATGTATGTAGGAGCACGAGTAATGGGAGGTCATTTATCGGTTCACCGTCCCGTAGCCGTATACCGCATCGCACCGACAAAACACGCGAACGAGTGCGTTCTTCCTATCGCGGTCCCCGCGAATACATCTTCCTCTTTTCGTCCTTCGTTTCTCGATACGTATCTACATCTCCGTGACCCTCCACTCTTTTTCTTATCTTTTCGAGCTCATTTTTCTCTAGCCTAATCCTCTTTACGATGACCTGACTGCGCCGATAACGATGGTCGCGGCATACATTTTTCTCTCCTATTATTATTATTCTAAACTCGAGATTCATGAATGAACGGACTGGATAGTTTTGTTGAAAATATTTTTCTCGTCAGTAGGACGTTTCCTTTCGAGATAAGTTGTCGCAGATTGATAGGTCGAACCGTCGTATCGCGCGATGTACAATTCATTTCTTCGCCTCTTCTTCTTCTTCCTCTTTCCAGTTTTCGAACAGTTTCGTCGCGATTTAATGTTACAGAGACTTTTTAGCAAAGATGCAGGAAATAGATATTAAGAATATTTATGCAGAGGTGTACATAAATGACTATACAAAACCGATGAAGATTTTACTAACCAGTAGCGTGCGCGTCCAATACCAATATTTATCCGGAGGAGATATACGTAAATAACTGTACAAGACTGACGAAGAACTCACTAACCAGTAGCGTTCGCTTCATCGATTACCGAATAATCTTCTGTTCCGAGTAGCGTCCTCTAATGATAATGGACAGATCTTTCAACAAAACATACAAACCATGCTGCGTTTCGCCGTACATGCACTGTGATTTATTTATGTTTTCGATGTAAATGTTCTTTTTTTCGAAGCGATGCCATCGCTGCAGAGTCGAGCCGCTTCGCAATTAAATCGCGAGGAAACAATAGCATGATTTATAGTTCCGTAATCGACTAAAGTTTCAAAACAATTTCGTAATAAAAACGATACTTGGCTACGCATGAAAATTAGTCTATGAATAATTGATCACTGAAAACAAAAGTAATTTTCCAGTAAAGAACGTGTATTCGATAAACCATGAATAATTCACGAAGGTTTCGCAAGAAGTTAGGAAGTTCGGAGTTTTGGCAAGCGGAAAGATTCGACGCGACAGACTTACTTTTCTAACAGAGTCTGAGATGCCTACGCGTTTCCTTTCGTCGACTATGATCAACGGAGCTCTTCTTTCATTCACGAATCGCCGTTTCACACTTCGATTCAGAAGATCCGAACGAGATCCACCATGAAGCTCGATCTTCGCGAGAATCGACGCTCCGACGCTCGATACAGCGCGGCTATTACTGTCGCGTCCGATGAATCAACAGGCTGCATCTAATGTAACTATTGGCCGAATCCCCCCCACTTACGGACACTTCTTCCCTCCTTCGACTCACGATCCCACCTTTACCCTCCGACAAACGATTCTTTCAGAAATCTTGAATTTTTACAATTCTCGCCACTTGACCCTTCGAATGCTTAGACCTTTCACTCTACGAATATTTGCGATTTTGGATCTTCAAATTCCTAAATTTTTGCAATTTTCGATTCTCGAATTTTTGCATTAAAAAATTACAGAGTTCTTAGATCACACAGTTATACAAGCTTCATTTATTTTCACGATTCAACGATCGCTTGTCTTCTTATTGAACCAGCTTGTACCTCGTAATGCATAGATGGCGTTTTCGACGAACATTAATTGCAACACGTGCTCTAGTTATCACTGCACGTGTCACGCGCTTCGACATCATTGGTTACTGATAATTGACGGGAGTTCATAAAAATCGCGATGTTGAGTCGTAGCGTCGGCGCGTGCGGAAAAAAGTGCCGCCTATTTTGCTACGGAACAAGGTCTTTTGCTGCGATTTTATAAAGGAGGATTGTTTTCGTTCACCCTATCATGTTTTGTCACTTTCTTTTTTAATCGATCTTTCGCCGGTTCGTCCGGTTTTTCGTACAGGATTCGTTAATTGACAAAAACTCGTTTGAGCTCCAAGGTTGCAAACGCCTGCGAAAAGTGTAATTTTTGGAGAAGAGAAAGCTTCGAAAACCTGTTGTTTGACAGATCACCGTTCTTGACCTGTTATCGGTTTGCGCGCTAATTACGCAATGCTGCATTTATGGTCACGTGTATGGTAATGATCAGTTCAGAACGCATTGAAAGGCGAAACTTGTCGTTGTTTTACTTTATATCGATTTACTGATCGATGCCCGAGTTATCGGGAGGTTTGTGTAACTCAATTGCCAGCGGATTACGGTCAGATTTTTTTAGCAAGAATTAAGGTTGGTGTTTACCCAAAGAGGTTGGCACAGCTACAAGTTCCTATCTTATCATAGAGCTAGAACCAAAGTACTCCAGGAGGGAGAAAAATTCGCTTCGAATACGACACGTGTAAGCGCCCCTTTTATTTGAAATTATTTTTCTTAGCCTCAACTTAAGTACCACTCGATTTCTTGTTATTCCACAGACTCTTGTAAGGTTGTCAAGAAATTCGATCACTTTATACTTTTCAAGAAGCTATCACAATATGAGTCAAACCGCTGCATAATTTACGAGTGCATAGTCATACCGGTTATTCATAATATTGTCTTACCACTTACTCATCTCAATGTCAATATAACCATCATCTTACGGACGATCGCGACTCAGGAATCGTGAAACATTTGGAAACTTCTGCGCGACGATAAATAACCGATATTTTAAAATAATAAGTACTACTCTAAAGTTCAATGAAATGAAAGGGACAAATTACATAATTTAACAAAAAGTCTGACTCGACAATGATCGAAACGCATACTAACCCATTACTGATCGTTGGTAACAAATTTCTCCTGTATCCCCATATACAGCAAGTTAAAAAACTTGAACGGTTTGACCTGGATTCGAAAATTCGGCGCGACTCACGACTCGCGATCTCAGGTGCTCGCTACACGACCGAGCTGAAACTGGGGCCAAGAGTGACGAAGTGGAACAAGGGGATGCATTTGCGACAGGTAGCAAGCCTCAGAAGTGCCCGGCGACACTCCCGCCAACCCCTTCCGACGTGCCTTGCTCGATTCGAAGCCGTTGATCTCTTCATTGCCAAGCGGAATCGTCTGTATCGTAAGGACGCGGCTTCTGTCTGTTAATTGACCTGGCAATTCTGTTCCGTCGAACTTCGACCGACCCCTGACAACGTTTAACCGTTCCTCCGCTCGTGAAACACGCGATTCGCAACGGAAGTTCCTCTTTTAATGCGTCCGAGACCGCCGACGCACCGTGCGTCTCTCGCAGCAGGAAATTTTCGAATTTTTTCTCTACTACGACACAAAAAATAGTTGATCCCGTACTTGAACACGTTTCACGGAGTTAATGAATCGTTATCGAGTGATTCGATGTAATCGAACTTCCCTCGACTGGCGTTCCTAGCGATAACAACTTTGTTTGGACGGTTAGGAACGTTTGACCGTGTAAATAGATAGTTTTTCTTAACCATTTTACTTTCCAATCGCAAGAGTTGCTCTTGTTTGACGTAGATAACCTTGGGTAGGTATCTACTGTTTAAACTTACCCGTATCTCAAAGTTCCTTAGCGCCACAGGATCGAAATTTAAAATAAAGGCGTTCCCTTGCAACTTATTTATTTTCGAATTTTAACGATTCACCGTTTCGAAATAGTCCCGTATATACATTATGACGCGACGAGATTTTATCCAGTGATTAGTCGTGTCATAACAACAACCAGATTTGTAATACAACGCTTATCGAGTAGATTAAGATTATTCATTACGCGACATACCAGATACCTCGCTATCGTTTCTTCACCCACGCGTTTGTTTCGTTCCGTGCCAAAAGGTAACGAGTCCCTATTCCTAATCCCTGTACTGTTAACCACTGAAACGCTATCTCCTGTTGGTTCACCGACTATCGTTCAGCCTCTTACGAAGCCTGTCAAGGTCTTGTAGCTGTTACAGAACACCCAGTTCGTGAACCAGACCCAAGTCGATTATTGAACGTGTCCAAACAATTTTCGAGGGTGACGATTCTAGCAACCTACCGCTAGTTCTATCACGCCGAAATTCAATTCGTAGATCCGTAGATTCTTGGACCTTTCATACCTAGACTTTATCGCAAATTTTTCTTTCATTTCCTTTGATCATACTTGAGAATCTCCATGCCACGATAAGGTCTTCTTGCATCGATTCGATAACGAGAAAAAATGCTAGTTTAATATCCAAAGAGAGAAGAATAGGCGTGGTTAATAGTAATCGACATAATTTATTTACAATAAAAAAACATATCAGATGTATACATTGTATAGTTCTGGCCGAGTTAACCCGATCCACGAGACTCGTTATTTTCGCTCGTTAACAAACTCGCGCGTCTCTCGCGGCCTGGTACCCGAATAATGATCAAATGCCAGAACTAATTCATAATAAACGTGCACTTATCTAATAAAGCTTTCAAACGATACATAATGTAACGATGCAATGCAAGAACACTCGTAGTAGTAACTTATATCGTAAACGCAAGTAAATTAGATCGTTCTACATAAGAAATCCTCTTTAAATCTCGAGCATTATTTTCCCTTCTTGTAACCCTACACGATCGATATTATATTACATAGAAACGAACACAAGTTCACGACAATCGTGACGAACGATTGAGAGGCTTCGAAATGCGATTGTCGGACTCGTCGTACTTTATCAACTATCGATATCGCTACTTTAGGGAAGTCTATCGCGGCTGATCGTACCCGAGGACATAAATAAGCTTCGGTTGAATAATCGGCGTTCCTCTTATTTCTCGTTCGGAGATTGACAGAAACGTTTCCTTGCCCACCATATAGCTGCCAGAGCGGCAGCTAGGAACCCGATGCCCGCCACAATTCCCATAGAAATTGCCCTGTTTCTACGATACGCTGGCACCTCCAGACTGATCCGTTCGCTGCTCGCTACGTCGTCCGATATAGACACCGCAGACACGTCGAACGTGTAGTAACTCTCGCCTTCCAGTAGTTTTACTGCAAAAACAATATTTTCCTTTGTGAAGGAGCAACTTTTCTGTTGTAAACTTAGCAGAATTTTTAGCACAGGCGCGTTAGGGAAATCGAATGAAATTATATAAGTACCCAGATAGTAAGTGTCGGTCGTTTCGGCTCTTCCGTCCAATTGTTCAGACGGTCCTCGGTACCATCTAACCACGTACGTTCGTATCTGATCTCTTCCATAACCGGGTGGTTCCCAGGTGACTAAATAACCCTGTGCTGTCGCTTGTACTCTCACGTTCAGTGGTGGTCCCGTTCTCTCGTCTGTGAAATTGAAAATATCGCTCCATAAGATATCCAAAGTAGAACGCACAAAAGAGCATCGCCAATTTTACCTGGTGGGCTACGATACTCCGAGGCTGAATTCTCGTCGATGGTATCTGCAATACACCGAATAGATAGTTTAAGAATAATTGTATTACTGAACACTTGTATTACTTCGTGTCTATCGAACTTACGGGGCTGCGTAAAGATCCGAAGCGTTTTACTAAACATCCCGTCACCGTGTTTGTCCTGGCTGAGTACCATAAACTCGTATTCGCGTCCTGGATTCAGGTTGTTTACGGTTGCCTCGGTGATCTTCCTCGATAAAATCTTCATCGTCCTCCATTCCGTGGTGTCGGTAGGTCTGTACCTGATCACGAACAATAGTCGTTATTATCCTATTGTAACTGTTTCGACTTGTATTTGACTCTGACTGTAATCTACGACAGTATTCTCGATGAAAATTTCTCATTTACCAGACCGAATACTCCGTCTTAGGTCTGACGTATCCCGGTACCCAAGTTAACGTAACTGCATTGTTGCTGCTGTTGGCGCTGAGATTGTACGGCGCTCTCGGAGGAACGTTTAAGACCATTAACTCCGCGTCTGCGACCACGGTCGCTGCTTCGTTGCTCGCCGCGCATTGATACAATCCTCTATCCTGTTCTTGAATTCTGCCGATCATTAAATTCCCACCGATTACGAGCGTCCTGTTGTCCTTGGGCACGGGCGAACCATCCTTTCGAAGAAAACAGCGAATCGTTACTAGTCGAGTAGAGAAGAGGAGTAATTTCTCATCGAGCAAAATAATCAGTACCTTGTACCAAACAATCGCTGGTCGATGGGATTGATCACCGTCCCTGGCGTCGCAAGGTATCTCCAAGTTCTCGCCCAACTTCCTAATGTACAGATTCTGAGGGGTCACCGTAAACACAGGCGGTCTCTGCACAATCTGTCGAACAATGTCCCGCGAATTAGAAAGAAGAAAAGCTTGAGGTCGAGTTTGTTAAGCGAACCTCGACCTCAAGCGTCGCTTAAGAAACAGCTTGGCCTCGCTTCGGGAATCGTGCCCCTCTAAAATCGTACAATTGGAAAATAAAGAACGACTTAACACTCGTCTGCGAGTGGTCAATGGACTTCAATGACCGTGTCGCACCGTCTTTCTCTGTTTCCATCCATGGACGTTTTCGACGTCGTTGACAGCATCGCGCGTTCTTAACCGACAATTTATCTCGCGGAAAAAAATATCCAAGTTTGTACCCCGCGTTGTTACTCGACGAATCGTAACGTACGCGATCGGCGGAGTGGCTGAAAATTAACCGTGGGGGATAAATTAGACGATGATACTTACCACCGTAATCGACGGACTAGGTCCTTCCGTGCCGAGTTCGTTGTACGGAGTGCACGTGTAACTCCCGGAGTGCGTTTCGTCCACTTTGCTGAAATACAGAGAACCGTTCCTCCTGTAGAACACTCCTTGAACGTTGTAAGGATCGAAAAGAAATCCATCCTTCTCCCAACGGAGGTTCGTCAGGGGTGGATTTGCCCTGAAGTGACAGTCTAGAAGGGCTGGTTTCCCGTACGGTAGGTAAACTTCGCGGGGAGCGTAGATAACCTTCGCCTTGTCTGAAACGTTAAACGATTTTGTTCGCTAGAATTCAATTCGATCGGGAGAGTCTAAAGTGGAGCGGGACGAGGACAAGGTTGGTTACAGGGCGTATAATGATCATTAAACTTTCGCCTGCAGTGATTTCTATTACCGGGTCGTTATCGTCGGTTATTTCATTCGGTAATGCCCATTATTACGCCGGTGTGATTATTTCATTTCCTGGGCGAAAGTGTGCGATCGTGGCCTAGTACACCGTTCCACTGCCTAATACCTGTTATTGCGCGCGTTTAGGCTATTTGACTTTAAATAAGGTCCAAAAGTTTCTTGCCTGTCCTCGATTCGCCCGAAAACAATTGCAGAATTCTCGCAATCACCCTCGATACCTTGTCATCTTTATTAGTATTCTCAATTAACGGTGGATGGTTATAGCCACCTTTGGTATTGGGTGACTACAGTAAACGAGTTAAGTAATTTTAGGTACGGCGATTAATGGATATTTACATTGTACATTGAGAAAGGCCGAGGCACTCTGTTGGTCCCCAGTTTCACCCGTCACCACACAGGTATACTCTCCGAGGTCGCCCATAGCTGCCGAATTGATTCTCAACGTTCCATCCTCCCCGATTGACGCTCTTCTCTTGAGATCCTGTTACATTTTAGATATACGATCTTTATATTACACCGCTTTCAAGGTTTATGGTATTAAGCTATGGGCCTTTGATAAATGATCTGTCGGAATTTTTGGATCAAAAAGTTTCTTTCGATTGTCTAAGAATCGAAGGTTACCTCGATTTCCGTGATTTCCACGCCTTCACGGAGCCAACTGACGACAGACTTCTCTCCCTTAGCGACGCAATCGAAGCTGACCGACTCACCCTCCATGACAGTCTTGTTGACGGGCGGAACCGCCAGCAGAGTTTCGCCTGGAACAGACGTCGGAAACGGCGACGCACCTGGGTTGAACGATTTAACGAGTCTGCCCGGTTTCAGGTTAGTAAGCATCAGCGGGATTATACTTAGGATACCGTATTTAGTCGCTCGTCGACAGCCAGATTAATTCGCTTTAGTCGAAACAATTGCAATTAACGTATGTTAATCGATCCAGTGCACGTTAACATTTTCACTGGCATCTATTGTCGTATTAATTCGTTTTAGTTTCAGCAATCGTAACGCGTGTTAATCTATCCGGTGCACTGTTAATACCATTGCGTTCATTTATCCTATTGATTCGTTTTAGTCGCGACGTTTGCAATTAACGCGTATTAATCAGTCCAGTGCACGTTAATATTTTGATTGCCATTTATCGTTTTAGTTCGGTTGCGATTAATGCGTATTAATCAACCGAGTGCTCGTTAGCACCCTGATTGCCACTTCGCCCTTACTCGGATAATACGGGAATATCCATCCATCACCCGATCACGAAAGATTCTAGTAAGCTTTGAGGTGGTTCCTGTCGAGACCCATTTTGTGACAGTCATGGCAGTCAGAGTGGTAATCGACGCGTCGAGGCGCATAATACCTGATCTGTTATTTCGAATCGGTGCGTGACAGAGGCATTGTGTCGTGCCGTTACGGAAATTCTTTTTTCCCGGGACTGCCGTTCGTGAAACCAAAGTTTTCGCGATCTTTTTTTATTTCACAGGAAGGGGCGCGATTGCTTTATTCGAAACACCTCATTGATCGAACGTTTCCAGTTTACTCGAATCAAGAGGTCGTTAGTTTCGAGATAAACCACGTTGAGGTTTTTTCACGCGATGACTCACTTCGCCATTATCGTTTAATTTAACAGAATTCTGCCAGCAAAAAGCAGAATTCCGGTTAACGGCTGATTCATCGACGACTCTGATCATCTACGAAGGGGGTCAATTCGCAACTTCACCGACGCGATACTTCCGATACTTTTGCGATACCTCGAAACGATTAACGAGTTTGAACAGAATTATGACCCTCGATCGAGGGTCGAACTCTTAAATCTTTAACCTGTACAAAAGCCCAGATCTTAAAAGCCCCAAGAATTTAATTCCGCCGTTTGCACCGTTATTTACCATTACTGTTAATCAGACTTGCAGAGAGTTACTTCTAACTCTGCCAACATTATACAACAGCGAAGAGACGTAACTAAGGATTAAGACTGGAACGTTTACTTCCTGTTTGCCGAAAATCCCGCAAGATTTCGCGGCAACGAGCCTCTGCTTCATCCAGCGTTAGCGTTCGTACACCAGCTTGACCCAATTCAGTGCTCGGTGTTAGTCAGTCGGCGCTTAACTACGTTAATTCCATTCGCCACTTGCTGTTATCGAATTAGCCGATTAACGGGTACGAGAAAGTCCGCGTGACCTTACCATCTATAGCGAGGTGGAACCAGGTTCCGTTGTTCCTCGAATTCGGCGTTCTGTTCGGGAAGATCACTCTGCACTCGTACCATCCTTGATCGCTCTCGCGGATGTTGGTCAGATTGATGCTACCCTGGCCGTATCCTCGATGAGCGGCGTCTTCCAACAGATGGACGCGGCCTTCGTAACCCAGACCCACCGACGGATGTCCATTGTACCATGAAAAGATCGTTCGCGACTGAAACGATCGCACGATTCATCGTATTAACAATTTGTGCTTCGTAAATACCACGTACGAGAAAATTTCATAAAACTCGGGGTAAAATATTGTAGTCTCCTTCAGAATGTCGGGCGATCAAATTGCATGTCTTCCTACGACTCTTCCTATCTGCTGAACGATGTTACAAAACACCTCCGAGTTAATTTATCTGTTTAGTTGTACTTGCAACACCTATGCGAGGTCAGACAGAAGAGACAATCGATTTCGTAATCGTCGCTTGAACGTTTAAACGTTCAAGGGAATTAGGTAGAAATCGCTTTAATGACGTCTAGCCACCCTTTCTCTCGGGAGAAGAGACCAAAAGGTTAACCGTGCTCGAAGTTGCCGGAAACGAATTATCTCGACATTAGCTCGCATCGAACGAGTTGCAGCGGACCGATTCCGAGAGAGGAAGTTTTGTTTGTTGATCGAGCGGAGCCGACGCGACGTGTCACGCGTGTCACGTGCGTCCTCCGGTGAAAATGAAAAACGCCAGAGTCTGGGTAACCCTCGCGGTCAAAACGAGGCAGGCGAAAAGGCCGCTAATCGTCCCTAATCGTCTGACAATGCGTTAGCAGTGACCCACTGGTTGGGACCCCTCGTGTCGCGGACTAGCCGTCACTAAATATAATGCAGCCTTGCGTCCCGTACTCCAATTACCGTGTTCGACAGACAGAGAGGGACCCGTGCACCTGTTTTGCATACGCATCAGGGACCAATCAGGTTAAGTTCCACTTGATTTTATGCGGTAGCCATGCGCAACGCTCAATCTGTTTCCGGCCCGCGGCTGCACGCGCGCGCCTCGAATGCAACATCCGCGAAAGAACGACGCCTCCTCGTCGCGTCGCATCGCGGACCGGAAATCAACGCGATGGACCGATGCTCGTTTAACTTTTCGACTTCGTTGCATCGTTGCTAAGATCGTCTACTATCTAGAAAATTATTGGAATCGGCGATGTATCTGATCGATCGAGAACTGTCTTCGGTTGACCAGACGGCGATTCAACGCGTGGTTATACAGCACGTGGCTGCACATCGCGTGGTTATACATCGCCGCTGACAACGTAGCATTTGGCGATCTAACGATCGGCAAGAGGTTTCCGTGGATGATACGCGTGGTTGTAGGGTGGATAGCGAGGTAAAACGAGAGTGGAAATATGCAATCGTAAACCACATTATACCGTGAAGGATATTACGCTTCGAAATCGAGACATCGAGCGATGGATATCGAGATCGGGACAAGCTGACTCTTCTCACGCGGATCGAATTAGACGCGAAGAAATCGAATCACCTACCCTGCCTTGAACGACCACTTTTCTACGCGGTTGGACGCGCGCAATCTTTTGATATAGCCTCGCGAGCATGGCTGCACGCGGATTAATCAATCGACAGGATTCGTTTGGCTTTACCACTTAATTACCAATCGGTCGTGTATGCGTTCATCGCGCTCTTTGCAGCGATAATTTATATCTTCTGGCTCTCTGTTAGAGGGAGATTAAACTTACAGTTTTGCATTATTTTTCTTTAGGAATGTTTTGCTACATCCTTGACAGAAACTCTTTTCCTTGAAACGGAATATCGATTTTCATGGACGAGGTAAACGTGTACAGGTTTGAATCTGTCGAGGTTTGATCTTCCTCGATCGACCGCAAACCGCGTAAACAACAAACCTACTCAGGATTCCCACGGAAATATTGTTCTTTTTCGTATTGCGTAATTAATAATATCACCATCTTTGATACGTTGCATTCATCGTTACCTTTTTTGGTTTCATCCGGATAAAAATTTCTTTAGCCTTTCAGAAACATTTTGATCTTTTAAAAGTTTAATCTGCGCGAGCAAAATCATACTAAAGGATTCGAAACATATGTCACGCGGATGAAAGAGCAGTTCTGTCCGGTTGCAATTGCAATTTAGTTGGAGGACACTCACGTCACGGTTCCATTGAAGGATGTACGGGATCGGTGTCTCGTGCGGAAAGTCCAAATCGCAATTGAACACAGCGTACTCTCCCACACCTGCGTTCAGATAATTCGGCTCCTTGTCTTCCTCCAGTAGCAAGCTATAACCGAATGCTGCAAAACAACAAATTTCAATTACGGATGCTTACGCACATATGCGCTGTTAATAATTTATTCCATTTTATTCGTAATAAATTCGTCTCAGGGTCGCATTCCAGTAGCGTGAAGATATTTTATTGTATACGAACGATCGTTTCCTGTTTCGCTCTATAATCACTTTTACCATGAGAAAGAGTACAGAATTTGATACGGGCAATACATGAAATGTAGTTTTTAGAAAAAAGGACTGTGGGCTTGTAGATACAGTTTCAGGATAAAAATGTACTTACACACGATCTAAGACCGTGATCGTTTTGATAGTATTCCACGAAATTGCTTAATTCGCGTCGCGCGAGATTTTATTCAATGTCGAGTCAGAGGAAGACGAGATAACTCACCTTGACAGCAGAGGAAGATCGCCAGTAGGTGAGGAATCCTAGTCGCCTGGCACATTTTCTTGCAGCCGCGATCGTTCTGTCGTGTTCACCGATTTCGTGGATGTCCAACGACGGTAGTAGCGCGCGTACGCGATGTCAGAAGCAAGTCAGAGCTCGCGACCGACGACGACGACGGCGAAGCGGAACACGGCAGCAAAACAACACATCTGTCATCACCCACACTCATCAAACATCGGCCACCACCAGCGACGATTAAACGCCACTATCGCGATCCTATCGGACCTATGGATCGATCGGTCCTCGTACAATCGAACGGCACGCGACACTACGACGATCCCAAAGTGTCTGTGGCCTCGATCAAGGAAGATTCATCCTCGATCTCGTCTTCTATATTCTACGTTCGTTTTCGAAACGATTCACCCGCGATTCGAGCAAACGTTCATTCTCGTCGATCTATGGAGTCACTGGTCAGCGTTTCTACCCTTTTCGAATCGAGGAATTCGTGTTTCGGGACGATTCTTCGAGCTGTGCTCCACCGTGGAACGTTCGCTCACCGAGTGGTCCGGTGGTTGCGGTGATAACCGAGTAATCGCTCCGCCTCGCTCAATCCGAGCGGATACGACGCCGAACAGCAGCGGTAACGAGCAAACCTTTGGGAAGGGGTAATGCTAGTGACTGGAGAAGGGTACGAGACACGATTTTACGTTCATGGTACTGTATGTTGTAGCTTACGTGTTTCTCTAGCGCCGTTCCTCTTCTACGATCGTGACACACCCACGAGAGAAACGCGTTTAGGGTACTTGAGTTGTACGTATACATATTTTGTTTGCTAAGTAAGATGAGCCACTTGCCTATCTTACTGTCGCTCTTATTATTTGGGTTAATAGCAGCTAATCGCTAGATTAGGTGGAACTTTTTGTTAAGCGTAACTCCGCATCGGTTTCCAACTCTCTAAATCCAACTAGGCGAACTTTTAATCTCGCATAACTGTAGGGCGATAAGTTCGTGCCCATATTTCTATAACGGAAAAGGTGAACGTTCCGTAGCTATAGACACATTTTATTTAGAGTCGTTCCTCGCCTTTCATCGGCGAACGGAAGAATTACCTTTCCATTCAGCTTCTCGAATCCCGGCGCTTTCAACGTCGCATCGTGGTTGAAACCGATTCGAGGGAATTAAGGGATTTAATCGTGGATCTGGAGTCCAGGTTCAAAGTGTGTATAGGAACGAAGAGAGACTTTACGACGGTTCTCGAACGATCCCAACGTTTAGCGACGCTTCATCGATTCAATCTCGATTTATCCGGAGATAAAAAACGCGTTAGCCGCGAAATAAGCGATAAAGAACTTGGCACGATAGATGCAGCTTCTTATTTCAATGAGCGATCCCTTTTATTTATCCGCCCACGTCGAATAATTACCGCTCGTGGCGCTCTCGTAACGAAGACGCCGACTTCCGGTCGCGGATATTTACCACTGTGTCACGTTCGTCGAGTTCACGGCTCCGTTTTTCGCTTTAAAGGCTTTGCGCCTCTCGTGACGGAGCTCTTTCGAGCAATTAAAGCCTACAGGAAAATTAGATCGCCACTCCGCTTCGCGCCAATTTAAGACGCATGGCCATTCCTTGCGGAGACGGTTCGTTCGGTTTTTAAGAGAATAGAGAAGAAACAAAAGATTTATCGGATAACTCTTTATTATACGAATTCGTACACGACTCTTGCAATTTTCGATTTCGTTCCCTTTAAAAAATAGCTAAAGCCTTCTCGAAACCTAGTCGCAGTTATTCACGTAATTATAACGATTTCCATTTATGAACGCCACTAGTATTTCTAATGAATCTTTAATAAATCTTTGAGCATACGAATGTTCGAATTTGTCACTGCGTAATTATGTACGTCGATTCGTGATAAGAAGCGAGCGTAGAAACGACTTCATTTATCGATCTCGAAAGCGGACGATTCAGTAATTATTCAAACGAGCGTGTTCCTGTCCAGATCGAATCTCGATCGCGTCGACGCGAAAGAAGCAGCGACGACGACGACGACGACGATGGCGACAAAACTGCATACAGTCGCGCGCCATTTGCGTGGGTGACCTCAGATTACGTCACATCCGTCCCTTGCCGCATTAGCAGACTGCCCACAGCCTTGTCACGCTGTTGAGATAATGGATCCATTCGCATGGATCACGATCCAGGATTGGACGTGCCCGGGACACTGGAAATAAATGCGTGCATAATGATACCGACCGTATTATTTCATCGACGAACCGTGGAAGGGAATGGCTTGTTCCTGGTCCACCTGCCATGCGACCAATGAATCCTCGGAAATCGAAAATTGGGATCGTCTCCTCGGCGTTCTTTATTCTTTCATTCCGGCCTGAATCTTCTCGTGATCGAAAAGTACTCGGATCACGAGTGTATCGACGATGAATCGGTAGCAGAAAATTCGTCGTCGAAGCGACCGTTAGCGAGAGAAGAGGCGAAATAAACATCGGTTAGGATTACTCCGGTAATCCTTGGTACTTTGCTTTTAGCGAGAGTCGAAGATTAGAGTGAATCCGGTGGCAGATAATTCGTCGCTGAGGCGATCGATCGTTAGCAAATTAGAAAGCAGTCGCTCACGATTTATGATCCTAATCTGTAAAGGTAAAATCGAAGTTATTTCGTGCGAGTGTACGGTCGTGGCTCGTGACCCAAGGGTTAAGTAAACGAACGCTCGCGTGATTTCTCTGCACACTCGATTCGAACGCTCCAATTTTTCGCGAACTCGCGACGCTACGTATCGAGGGAAATCATGGAAATTGCGGTAATTCCCGGTAATCAGTGCCGTAGACGCGTTGCGCAAACGCCCCTTCTTCGCGCGTTTCACAGCGAGTTGCACACGGCAGTCTATCAGACCGAGATTCCACGTTTCTCGTCTCCAGCCTACGAAAATGCGAATCCTCACGCACTGTCCTGATTTCGTTCAATTGACAATGATCTCGTTCCCTTGGCCAACCACGATCCGTTCGTCCATCGGTTAAAAGAACCGACTGATTCTTCTTATCGTCGTGATTTGATAGCTCGCATCGATCGTGCAATTTGTACGCCGTGGAGGGAGTTTGAGGCGAAGGTAAACGTCCCGTGATACAAAGATCGTGAGCTTAATATTTTTCCTTTCAAATGTCGCTTTATTTCTCATTTTATTTGATAATAAATTGTCTACAATTTGTCCTAGGTTAGTACGTCTTGGAGTTCTCGTGGGGAGAGGTTCGCGAGAAAGCACAGGTCGATCAATAAAACGGTGAAAAATGTAGGTGAATAGCGAGAGCACTCGCGAAGCTGATAGAACGAAAACGCGTCTCTGCTTTTTATCTCACACACTCTCCATCTCTCTCTCTCTCTCTTTCTCTCTCTCTCTCTCTCTCTCTGCTTCGATTTCGTGTCGCGCGTACAGAGGACGAAAAAGTGACGATATGAGCGAAAGTAGCGAAGACAGAGGGTACGAAAGATGATTCGATCACGGAAGAAGAAAGTTGCTGGCAAATAAAAGCTCGAAAATATCGTTTTGCTCTCGATCGAACGGATTTTTCTTAGAAATAGTTGCTTGTACTTTGCAGACACTTCGAATAGTTTCGCCTCTTCACGATTTACGTATCATCGTCGACCGAATATTGCCAATTTTTAACGAACGAACGAAACTGATCCCCGTTCAGAGACAGTACCCGAGAGCCATTTAAATAAGTGTCAATTAACACCGGAACAACTATTGTAAAACCGTCGAAATAACGAATTGCTTTCGAAGAGGAAAAAAGACGATCACGTGCGCCGATTGATTTTTCATCGAAACGTTAAAATTCTGTGTATATTGTACTGAAATATACCGGAAACGATGGATCGTAGCGTTAAGAAATCGAAGAGGTTTTAGTGATCGAGTCCCTTCGTCCTTTGCTATAGCCCGTCCTTTGCGCGCGACTGCTTCGACTCCTCTTTACTCGACACCTCGAAGCAATAACCAAATTGTCTGGAACATTTTCGTGCGAAATAACGCGATCCATTTCTCGCCAACCGAGAGTTCTGCTCCGAGGGATGTGAATTTCACTCGCCACTCTGAGAAATAGCCAGATGGCTTTCAGGTACGTAAAGAGCGAATACCTAAATGAATCTCTTCCGGCGGATAAAGGTGCACGCTCGCTCAAATTCGAAATAAATATCTCGAAAAAGGTGAATCGCGAACACAAAGAAAGCCGTGAAGAAGAAATGGAAGATATTAGAAATAGAAAAGTAGAAGAAGAAGAAGAAGAAGAAGATGATGATGACGATGATGATGATGTCGATGAAGAAGGATATTCAGGAACGAAAGGAACAAGACGCAAAAACGAACTGATGAACGTTAAACACGAACAAATTCACGATTCAACCATATTATTCACTTTTAACACGCGATCGCGCGAAACCATTGTCCTTTTCTTCGTTTCGTATCGTTTCAACGTGTACTCTTCGTCTCGATCATCTCTGTATACACACACGTATATATATTTATTTATGTATATATAATATATATATATATTCCTTGGTAAAATTCTGTCTCTTTTTTTTCTCTGACTCTTTACATGATTTTTTTCCCGAGGCATACGATTGAACCTACTACGATCATCGAGAATCCACGTCTCCATTTTCCTATCGATTCAGCGGTCTCACTCTTTCTCGCTGCGCGTCTTGAGATCGTTGTATCTAACTATGATATATCTACACGTTACTTATATGCCTATGTCGATTGGTTGTTTGTTCTTTCGCGCTTGCTTTCTTCGGATGAGGGGTCACAGGTCGCGCAGTGGGACAGAATACCAAGAAGCGCGGAAACTAGTTTAAAGCGTCATCTTTCTTGTACATGAAAATTTTTACAAACCTGTGCGAGTCACGCATACTTTTTAAGACATCCGCGTGCTCTCTAGTTAAATCTTATTTTCCGAGTTTTCGAATATTAAAAACTATTGTTATCAAATTGTCTGGAACATTTTCGTGCGAAATAACGCGATCCATTTCTCGCCAACCGAGAGTTCTGCTCCGAGGGATGTGAATTTCACTCGCCACTCTGAGAAATAGCCAGATGGCTTTCAGGTACGTAAAGAGCGAATACCTAAATGAATCTCTTCCGGCGGATAAAGGTGCACGCTCGCTCAAATTCGAAATAAATATCTCGAAAAAGGTGAATCGCGAACACAAAGAAAGCCGTGAAGAAGAAATGGAAGATATTAGAAATAGAAAAGTAGAAGAAGAAGAAGAAGAAGAAGATGATGATGACGATGATGATGATGTCGATGAAGAAGGATATTCAGGAACGAAAGGAACAAGACGCAAAAACGAACTGATGAACGTTAAACACGAACAAATTCACGATTCAACCATATTATTCACTTTTAACACGCGATCGCGCGAAACCATTGTCCTTTTCTTCGTTTCGTATCGTTTCAACGTGTACTCTTCGTCTCGATCATCTCTGTATACACACACGTATATATATTTATTTATGTATATATAATATATATATATATTCCTTGGTAAAATTCTGTCTCTTTTTTTTCTCTGACTCTTTACATGATTTTTTTCCCGAGGCATACGATTGAACCTACTACGATCATCGAGAATCCACGTCTCCATTTTCCTATCGATTCAGCGGTCTCACTCTTTCTCGCTGCGCGTCTTGAGATCGTTGTATCTAACTATGATATATCTACACGTTACTTATATGCCTATGTCGATTGGTTGTTTGTTCTTTCGCGCTTGCTTTCTTCGGATGAGGGGTCACAGGTCGCGCAGTGGGACAGAATACCAAGAAGCGCGGAAACTAGTTTAAAGCGTCATCTTTCTTGTACATGAAAATTTTTACAAACCTGTGCGAGTCACGCATACTTTTTAAGACATCCGCGTGCTCTCTAGTTAAATCTTATTTTCCGAGTTTTCGAATATTAAAAACTATTGTTATATAAGAGGCCAATTTTTCCGATGAATTCGTTATCGAAGAAAAAAAAAATATCTGAAATATATACGTTTATTATTTAAGGAGAAATATAAAGGAAGAACATAGTTTTTATTCGTTTCTTGGAATTCTGCATCACCATGGGTCAAGGAGAAAACGTCGATCCACGAAGACGATCGATCAACCTTTCCCTTTTTTCCATTTTTGCCATGTTCATGTTTACATCGTTAGATTCTCTACGCGGTAGAATCGTGAACTGTCTTCGAGTTCGACGCGAAGGGAGCGCTTTGTATAATTGAGATCGATCAAAGTACCGTTCGACGTACAAAAAAGAGAGATTACCGACCGATTAACGTTATCGACGTTGAACGTTCGACGAGACACAAAGCTACCGCGTAGATCGTGATACGGGCTTGATCGAGACGCGCCTTTAATTCGATTACTATGATACAACGGCAACGACCGATCGAGAATTACGGCGTGGCCCGATCACGAATGCCCCTCGTGTATTTCTCTTCCACCTCTCGCGATCCCACGGATGATTAACGGGGTAATTAATTTAACGAATTAGTCGTCACCGCGTTCGTCGTTCTCGTTGATTAATACACTACACGCTACGTCGTTTACGATGTACAATATCAATTAATTATCAAATTATTAATTCAATCATTAGAATTACTTTAGAATATTGGTACTCTTTCGCGTCACCTCCATTTTTTATCCTCTCTTTCGCCGATTCGTTCCCATCACTTTCTCTCTCTCCCTTGCTCTCTCGTTCTTGATACGAATTTTTCTACCGGATTCTTGTATTCTTACATATTTCCTGTTGTTTATCATCGTATCCTATTTGAACGTCGATTACGCGCGTTTCGACGATGGACGGCGGACACGAAGACACTGGGAAAAGTTCGTATAAACGCGTATTCGAGTCGATCCTTTTTCGAATCGCGAACATTCTTTTTTTATTCGTCGCAAGATTCGATTTCGACGAAACTAAGACGAGAACGTTTCGTTGCTCGGGCAACGGAATATCCAGATATCCCTTTTTACGTATCTTTTAACAACTTTTTCTTCTATCCTCGCGAAAATATCACAAAACCGTTTCGGATCCACGTTCCGTAGGCAAAAGAATTAAAGCTTAAACGAGTACCTTGATAGCCCATTACCCGCGTACGAGTTCAAGATGGATTCGTATCTCGGAATGTACATACGTAGAACGTGTTTGTTCGTTTTCTTCGAATATTAGAAAGATCGCAAAATATTTCGTCCGTTCCGTTCATCGTCGAAGCGGCTGTCGCATATCGCTCGTCACTCATACAAGCGTTCATTCTTCCTCGTTGCTCGTTCCGCGATTTCTATTGCTCTTTCGTATACACCCACACAGTCTCTCATTCAAATACATTTCAACGAAAATTATACAACAGAGAGTCCTTCTGCCTCGACAGCATATATCCGCGTCGTTTGCACTCGTCGGTGTTTCACGGTTTCGTCGAAGAAAGTATAGTTGAATCGTGAGTAGGGCCCTCGCTAATATATTTATAACGATACAGGTATGTATAGAATATGTGGTACAGTATAAATAAGTGTTTGTACTATCAAACATAATTAAAGAAAAGAAGATATAAAAGGGGGGAAAATTAAAACGCCGAGACGGCCCGAGAGTATTCGATTCGCTGTCTCGTGCAACAGTCGATAAAACGCAACAGAACGGATAACGATGAGAAGAAGGATCGGGATAAAAAAAATAAGAGAAAAGAAACGGAAATAAGAAGGGATGTTGCTTTCGATTCGAATAGTCTCGCGGTACGGTATTCGTGAGAAAAGTATCAGCGATACGTTTAGGTCGCGATTTACTCGAACAATTAGCCCGTTGATTTGTATCCTCGAACACTCTGTGGGCCGTACACGAGCCTCGAACCTCGACTCGAACATGATTTCTCGTACACAGAACGCGTTTTGGTGAAGAATTAGGTGGGTCTCGAAGAACGCCTCTCTCGCGTGTACGCGCGTGTCTTTTGTTTCCATTCTCGCATCGTTCGCTCTTCCATTCAAAATATATCTCTTTCGCTCGCGCACGCAAACGTTTCGAAATTTACACGTGTATCGTGTCGATGTGACTTGTTTTTTCTTTTTATGTATAACTTGTGTACGCGTGCGTAACATTTCTCGTTACCGGTGCACGGATCACGGTCGATCACGAGCGACGCTCGCGCGCGCGTGCACGCTTCGCGGTTTCGGGCCGTACCTCTTCCCGAATCGAGGCGTCCCGGGATCCGTCGCGATGGCAGTTCGCAAAAACGGCGAAGATTCGCGGCGATCGGTGTAAAATGGAAGAACCTCGGCAGAGCGCGGCAGTCGTTTTCGAGCCCCGCGAAGAGGGTCGTGCACGCGCGCGCACGCAACGCCTGGCATTGGCCGCGCGTGTCGTTTCAAAGAACCTTACTTAATCTCGTTTACGTTGCTTAAGAAAAATTATTGTGCCGATAATATGTTGGGTCGCTAGCGAAACCCTAAACAGGCAGTGCAGTACGAGTGAGTCCTTAAGCAATCTCCAGGCAAGCTTCGGCCTAATATCACGTTTCGAGTCCGTTGCTCGTCGATAATAATTAATTCTTTTTTGCGTTTTTTTTTTTCTTTCTTTTTAAGTTTCTCGTGTGTGTATGTATGTGTTTGTACGCGTGTATATATGGCGGTGATTCGGTCGTCTTTACTCTTCGCTTCGTTTCCGTTGTCGGTCGAACGCGTGTATGCGTGTGTTCGTGTACGTGTATCTTGCTGTTTGCATTATTACTTACAGTGTACGATTAAGGTTAATCTTACGTGTCGTTTAAAAGATATACGAAGCACGGTACAGTTTCTTTGGAGTATCATGCCGTCGTGTCTTGACATTCTTCTCTGGAACCTGTTCGTTCGTCGTTCCTCTTGATGCTCGATTACTCTCTCTCGATATCCCGAAGGTTCTCGCCGCTCGAATTCGTCCACGGCGTTTCGCGGTCTCCTCGAAAATCGTCCGAACCGTTCTAAGTCGGATCCTCCCTCGTCTTCTTACCGTAGAGAACGAATTTAAACCGCGCGTCGGCGCGGCCGCGTTGGCGAAATTTATGTATCCTGAGCTGACGCTTGTAACAGCCTTCTTTGTTCGTAGATGGTTGCCCAGCGTATATAGAATTGACTTGAAGTTGCCTACACTGGATTCGCGTACGATGATCCTCGTTGTGCTTGAACAGTTGGTCTAAATCGCGTTCGCTTTCGTCACAGCCGGCCGTTTTATTTCTCGACGTGTCCGCTGATCGGAACTAATATTCGAAACCGAACGACGCAACCTAAAAAGTAGTCTAAAATCGAACAGTGCCGTCAACAGGCGCTCTCGAGGTGCGCGCTCTGTCTCCTCCTCGCTTGCCGTTGTCGAAACTGATGGAACTCGGCCTTCATCGCTTGCACCCTGGCTTCGATGTTGTCCCTGCTGTACCTCGGCGTCTGATGATGAACCGTGTGCACCTGGTGAATATGCGGTACGTGAATGGTGTGTATCTGGTGCACCGGTGGCCTCTCCTCCCTGGTCGGCGTAGAAGCGGACGTCGGGGTAGGCGTGCACGAGACGGGGTCGAACTCGTAGTGGCCGTCCACGCTGCCTGCGTCCACGGCGTTCGGGATGTGCGTGTGGGCGACCTTGGCCTGATCCTGGAGCTCGAGCCACCGTCCGACCAACGGAGGGGGCGGCGGTCTGTAAGGCGGCGGCCTCCACTCGGCTACCGTGCTACCGCTCCTCGAGCTCTGATTCTGTTGCGAGGTGTTCTTGCTGCCGAAGCCCGAGCTGCTCGATCTGCTCTCCGGCGACGTCTCCAGATCAGGAGACGCTGCCAGCTCCGGGGCGGACCTGGCGTGCCTGGCGTGCCTCGGAGGTAGCCTGGCCCTCGGTCTGCCNCGGTCTGCCGGCCGGTTGCGGCGGCGACGAGGTTGCCAACGGTTGGACCGGCACGAACCGCCTCGATTCGGCGTGAATCGCCTTCAACGAGGGCAACTCTTGGCTGTATCGCTGGTGCACGCTTCGCAGCTGCAGGTAATCCGGCGGCGTCGGGAAGGAACGTTCTCCGGAAGATGGCTGTCTGACCGAGCTGAGATCGCTGAAGTACAACGGCGTCCAGGGCACTTGCTGACCGCTCGGTGAACTGGCCAGAAACCTGGGCGACGAGATCGTGCAGATCGCTGGCGCGATCCTGGCTAACGAGTTCACCGTCCCGTGGTGATGATGGTGGATGGACGGCAGTCCTCCGATGGAGACGCCGCTGCCGTCCGATCGGAGACTTAGCTGGCTGGTGCCGACCAACGGCCGTCGCCAAGACGACTTGAGCCGCTGCTTCGGAAGGAATCCACCGTCGTCGCTGCTCGACGCGTCCAGGATGCTGTTGTTCGCCGAGCTGAGCACCGAGTCCGCCACCACGAAACGACCGTCGGCCGTACGAGAGATCTTACCCAGCGGTCGGCCGCGGCACGAGTCCGGGGTGTCCGGACTCAGGATCTCCCGCAGGAGATTCAGACCTGGTACTCGGCTTTTTCTAGGTCTACGAGCAGGACAAAACACGCGTTAGAGAAATCACGGTGGTGGCTGGCGGCGGCGACGACTCGTTCTACGTGGTCGGAGGAAATTCTTTGCGTCGCGAGCTCGATCGACGATACCGAATTAAAAACATCGTTTTATCGCTCGTAAAACGTTCGGAAGTTAATAAAACGCGACGCTTTTACGGTATAAATAAACCTCTCTTCTCTTCTGACGGTTTTAATTCGATTTCGTCGACGAGCTTCGGAAGATATAGTCGTTCGACGCAACGACTTTTATCCGCGTTCGTTCGTAAAAAACAGCGCGCGAGAGTTAACTGGTTCCCTCCGACGATGTGGAACGATCGTCGTATACAGCAAGAACGTGCAACAACCACGTAAAACAAAAAAAAAACAACACGCAACGTTAACACGAACAGAAAGGAAAACGAGGAGCTAGGAGAACAAAATAACGAAAAGGCAGACGTACAGAGTTAAACGTACAAGATAATTATTAAGAATTAATTACGTGTACGTATAATAACGAATAATGGATGCAGGCGGGGAAGGCATGCTCATGCGCATTCCGGTGCACGAGTGGTCGGGCGTGACGTGGATCGTGGGTGGGTAGGCGCGTTGCCAGTGAGTGGATCTTAATCTCTTTTTTCTTTTTTTTTTTTTTGAATTTTTTCTTTTCTTTTTTTGTGTGTGTATATATCAATTTTTTCTTATTTTTTTTTTTTAGATCTCATTGTCCAATATTTTGTATTTTTGCTTTTCTTTTTTTTTTAGTGATAGCAATCGTGGATTTAGGTGCTCCGAAACTCGTCACCTTTTCTCCTCCTTCGGGTCCGGCAGCAAGGAAAGATGAGGGAGAGAGAATGTTGTAACACAACGATTACATTCACAAAAAACAATATCGTGGCGATAATAATAATAAGAAATATAATGCTAAATAACCGAACGTTACTTTCTAGGCGGTGGTGTTTAGGGAGCAAATAGATAACGCACGGGTTCCCATGGCTCGCGCGCTTTTCCCGGCCGGCATCGCGAAGCGGAAACTTTTGGTCCCTTCCGTCGAGCGTTCTCAACGCGATATACTTCAAAGAAAGGAAAAAGAAAATCGTAAATCACGATCGATGGCTGACTGACGTGACTTGTACGGTACACGGAAACGAAGAGAAACGAAAGAAAGAACGGGTGAATGGATCGAAAAGGGGTTCTTGTGAGACGATGCAAATACGGAGCGAGTCACGCAATTTACCCGAGCTTTAAATACTTCTTGATCGATGATCGAAACGAATGGTCAGAAAAAAGGCATTGTTCGTCTCGTACTTCTGTTAAAAATGCAACGATGCGCAAGAAAACGGCAGTTTTTTTCGTAACTTTTAATTCGTGTTATTTAGAGCGCGTTAAAGTAACAAAGAAAATAATGGAACCGTACTTTTCAGCTTTCTACGTCGTTTCAACGTTGTCATTTAACATTTACATTTCCCTCTTCGATCAAAAAGTAATTATAACCCGCGCAGGTGACTTGGCACGTCCTGTATATAGAATTGAAACGATCGGAAAGAAGGAGGGTGGTGAAGCATAATAAAACGAGAACGTTCATCGATTATAAAAGGGAGACTGAGCAAATCGTACATCGAGGATTGTCCTGTAAACGATCAAACCACGGACACAACAATGAGAAAATCGTGTATGGATGCAGTTATCTTTTAAGGGACGATAGAGAGGGGAGGGTAGAGCCGCAGCAAGAGCGGCTTACCTCTAATGCTTGCTTTAGGTCCGAGTGTTCGAGCGTGAACGCGTCTTTTTACGGCTCGTCTAAAATCGATAGACTGTAAAACAGTAAAAGAACACACATGAAGGGTACGATTAATAATTTCGATCGATGGAAAGCATCCTGGTTGTGATTACTATCGTAATTGCATCTCTTTCGTCGGTCATGCTCGGTGAAGCGTGACATGCTACGTGAGAAAGATAAAGAGAAAAAGAGAAAAGTCGAAAAAGCGAACGAGTTGGCGCATGTAGTAGCCGTTTTCGTCGAGTACTATCGTGAACGATTTCGTGACGGTGAAGAAAGGAAGAGCTAAAATGTGAGAGATTAACAGCGAAGATCCATACTGGCGAATTTTAATAAACAAAGAGTATCCGCACTCTGTTATTAAGTGAACCGTGTATCGATTAATTCGGAAACGCGACAGGTTCGCCAGGATCGATCCGAGATGTTTGTAAAAAATGAAGCAAACTACCGATTGAATTTCCAAGAAGAGTCGTATCGGTACAGTGCATCTACTGATACAAGAACAAAAGAATGTTGCGCGGAGTTCATGAAATTTGAATATACACGAGCAAAGTGGATCAAAACGAGATCGATGGATTCAGTGTTCGTTTACTTTATCCACGATAACGAACCACCGATTTCACTTGGACCCTTAATTATCGTCTATCGATTGAGCAAGTGGCACAACGAGAGACGACAACGTTGCAAGAATGAATTGGTTTTGTTTTCTGGCGAGCAATGTGGAACGACGAATAGGAGCGAGCGAGAGTGAATAAAAAGGATAAGAGAGAAGAAAGAGATCGTAAGACTGAGAGAAACGAAAGAAAACGAAAACGTGAACGAATATAAAGTTGAGCTATGAGATACGATGTGATTGCGATCGAGGCGAGATCGAGAATGAACATTGAACAGATCGCGAATCGACGGAGACAGTATTTTATTTAGGCTAAATGATTCTGACTAGGAATTCAGGATTTATAAGATCGGTGGTAATTAAATCGATCGAGAGAAAGGTACGCAGAGTCGATTTTCGATTTCGATTTCTACAAAATTTCTAACATCGTAAATCTAGCAAAAACTTCATAACGCCAGCTCGCTATTCTAATCTGTAAGTAAGAAACACGCAAAGCTCGCACTTCTATGATACAAGATAGGTAGAAAGGAAAGAACACGCAGAACGTTTTAAGTAAAACTAAGAAGAATTTGTTGTAACTCTAAAACGATCGATTTTTCGGCAGACGTTCGGTGACTACCATCTACCCTACAAATCCTGAATTATCCTCGATATTTCGTGTCGGTGAACGAATGCTCGTACACCGAAATAATCAATCGTTTGAGAAACTGTACTAAAAAAAGGAGAAATCTATACCGTCTTGCCTCGTCTCTTATCTATGTACTCCCTAAATCCGCCGAACGAAGGTATTTTAGGGTACTGACTGGATGTTACTAGTGTGACTCCTAGCTGTATTGCCTGTATTTGCTGATCTCATCTACGGTCATGACAATCATCCTAAGTAGTAGATAGTAGTAGATGGTAGTGGTAGATTAGTAGGTCCTAGCAGGTAACATTGCAGAGCTGTAGGCCTCGTATAGTAAGTAGTAGCGGTAGTAGTAGCAGTGGTTAACGGTGGATCGTACAGTAGGTAGGTAAGTAGTAGTAGTAGTAACGGTAGTAGTAACGGATCGAGTCCCAGCAAGTAGTTAAGTCGCTCGATCGATCAACGACGACCGATCGATCGATCGTTGTCGGTTAAGTGTATCGGACACACACACAAACACATACATGTATTATCGTAGACGAGTTCGTATTCTCATGGTCTCGGGAGCAACCGTTGTTGGTCTCGGATAACGCAGTAACGATGGTAGTAGCAGTAAAATGGTAGTAGTGGTAGTAGTAATAGTAGCAGTATTAGTAGTAGCAGTGATAGTACTTGGTTTTATCTTTCAGTGTGGCTAGCGGAGGTTAGGCTTACTGTTCCGCCTCTCTATGATAAACACGCTCTCGTAATCTCGATTATCGAGGTGGAGCGCGTGATGGTCACGATCACGGTTCGGGGGGGCCTGCTCGTGGACCGGCTCCGAGGTGGCAGTGGCGGGGGTGGTTACTTGCGTAGGAAGTGGTGGTTGATGAAGAGGTTGTGGTGGTGGTGGTGGTAGTTGCGGATTCAACGGGCTGCAACGGGTCAGCGTCGAGACTGACTCGCCGCACGCGTTTAGATTTGTCGACCTACAGAAAACACAGAGAGAGAGGAGGACAAGAGACGCCCACGTTTTTTTCTTTTCTTTTCTTTCATTTATCTAGCTCTGCTTATATTCTTCGCCTTTCTTAAACGCGTTTTCTCTCGATACACTATCCGCGTTAATTTGCCGTTCGTGCGAGAAACACTGGGAGAGAGAGCGGTTGCGAATCTTCGACGCGACGCGTTTCGTTCGACGCTCTTCCGATAATTCGTTTTGCAAAAATTCCTTGGGAGCTCTTTCTCTCCGAGGTCTCTCGATTCCCGGCAGAATTCTTTAACTCTTTGCCTTACGAGTTCGCGTCGTATTCTAGCTCTCCGGATGGGTGACGTGTCTGAAATAAGATCGTAAGGCAAAGGGTTAGTTCGCGTTGGCTCTCTTCTGATCCTTGCTCTAACCGCGATCCTCGAACGTCGATCATCGATGTTCGATCAGGACCGTGTTCGTAGTCTGCTCGTTTCCTTCTCGAACATCTTAAACGACATCGAACTTTGCCAGAATATAGAAAGTACACGCGACTACGAATCCGGGCCTGTGAGCGATAATCTTGGCAGTGGCTGAACCGTCCAGCCCGTTCTGGATATACGTGTAGGTAGAAACGTGCATTATCGACTCGCTTCGTGACAAACGCTGAAACGGTTCACCGATAAGAGGACATGTCGCGAGGGCGATTAAGGACGAAAGAAATGCTCGTAATACGTTTCTTCGATGTCGGCGATATATTCGCTGCGAGTCTCGCGATATATTCTCCGTCACCGATCCATCGATCGCGGCGAAGCAATCGCGAGCACCTTCGTCGATATTTTACCGCGTCGAATCACGTACAGCGTTCGAATTAATTTTAATCCCGAGAAAGATTTATCGAACTGCCAACGGCGTTCGAGTCACGCGCGCATCGAGCCAGCATTAATTACATTAATGCAAACGATGGCATTTCTATCACGGCGGATATACATCGGGGAATTTATAGTTTCGAGACGGATCAATCGTCGAATCTCTTTCGAATTCGTTTCGGAGCGAGTCCCGGATTAAAAGACACCCTCGCGACAGATCCGAGTGTAACAGAAAAAAGAGTGGATGATTCGACGTGTCGGCGATTCGAGAGCAAAAGGTTCATAAAATAAAAGGGCGTCGATGAAAATGAAGAGGAGGATGAATGAATTATCCGCGATACCTTCGATAAAGGCAGCGATAAGGGTGAACGAACGGGAAGAAAAAATGAAAGAGGGTGGAAAGAAGTAAAAAACAAAAAAGAAAAAAAAGCAAACGAAAGAAAAAAAAAAATATGGGTGAGAGGAGAAGAAACGAGGGTGGAACGACAAACGAAATGGCTCGTCGCGGGGAAACAAAAGGCGACATACGATCCAGAATAGGCATCACTGCAGTCGTATTGTGGACTTTTGGATGCCACGATGGAAATCATAACGGTTGGTCGAGTACCCGCTCTGCTGCACGCGCAGAGTCCGCTTGGCGTGATTTCAAAGCTGTACACCTCGGTTATCGAGGCCGATTTTCAAATACGTACGTACGGTTCTGCGGGAAAATGCGACGACGTCGGCGAGCGTGCGTTTCCGTGCGATCGTTTTCTCGTTCTCGAACACATACTCCCGTTGTATCGTTCGTACAAACTCTCCGTTCCTCGTTTACGCTCGGTTGCGACGACGGAAGCTGCACGCTAACGCGACGGAACACGAGCGATGGGCTCGAGCGAATCGCGTTCGATCTGATCCGACTTTCGTTCGTAGACTCGATTACTTTTCTTACCGTTGCACAGGCTGTCTCGGGCAAGATGTGGCTCTTTTATGGCGGAAGAAATTGGAAAATCGTTCGTAACGCGAAGCTTCGGTTTCGCAAACGTGTACTGTAGCGAGAATCTGGTGCCGTGTTCGATCGTGGGCGCACAGAGGATCGTGTACAAAGTAAGCGCAATTAACGGTAAGAGGTCTTCGATCTTGGCTCATCTGGCATCACAGCAAACGTCAATGTAAATGATCTCTTACCACTTGATGGTACTCGCTACGTATACGATCGTGTACACTCGCATGTTCGTATATGTATACTGTCATGTGACCAGCTGTTCATGTGATCGCCTAAGGCTTAAGGATCAGTCACCCCTTTGAACGTTATGGACTCAATAACGTGTTCTGCGGAAGTCATTGACGTGGATTATAGACGTGGATTATACATGTAACGTGTAATCGAGGGAATTCCATCATCCTTCACTTTACGAACACTTGATAAAGTTAAACACCGCTTGCCTGTTAGAAATCATCGTATACCGATAACGATGCAATCGTATTAATCAAAAAATTTCTTCCGTCATAAATATGTGATGCGTCTATTTTGAGTAATTTTGTACGGCAACGGTATGAGCAGAAATTTCAGCCAGGTTTCTAAAAACGTGGATTGGGTTCACGAATAAGTATCAATTGCACGACAGGGAAAAAAGAGGAATATATCCGTCAGAGTCCCACGCCACATTCCACTGGTTTCTACGATTCGTACGTTCCTTGCCGGAAATTAAATCATCCCGTAACAAGGGAGAAAATTCCAGCAGTGGTGAGCTCGAACTATTTGACGCGAATCGAATAACTCGGCGAACCTCGAGTTATTTGGCACGAAAATCGAGATGCAGGAACTATTCGGACCAGCTCGAACGCAAAGGTATCGCTCGATTGTTCGCTCTAACAAGGGGGCCTGGGCAACTTGATGCGGAGCAGACAGCGTCACGTGCTGACAAACTACGATAATTACGGAATATAGCCTAGGTTACATCGATAAAGTGTCAGAATATATTATTGCTACTATATTAGAACAACGAAAGAAGCTTAACGGTAGAATGTAGTCACAAAATACGTAACACTGCAAATTCTTGCTTACAGTGTATTTCTAGTGTAATTTCTATGTAACTCTAGAGTAGCTAGTCTTCTTCTATCGTTCAATTTGATAATACTAGCGTTAATATACTCTAATGTTACCTAGACTATAGATAGACTTTGCACTGCTTTTAATACCGGCGGTCTGATATTACCGAGGAAAGTGCCGCTTAAGCGCTTTGCGCGTAATTGCGAAGCTACGCGAGTTGCCCAGACCTGGTCTAGCCCGAAAAGAAGGCGGTAATGCACTCGCAAAGACAGACACACGCTCGAATTGGATGCGTGGATCAACAGAAACGAATCGTTCTCCAACCTCGTCCAAAATACCTCTGCTGCTGCGGTTTAGTCTGCCGGTTTTTCATCGCATCTACGCGGCTCGCGTTCTCTTATTTACGACGCAAGATCAAAAGAGGGTTCCTCTATTTAGTTCTATTTAGTACTTTTTTTTATTTTACTGTCCTGTTCTTCGTTTATCCTATATTAGTTTTTCTTTCTAGATACAGGGGCTGGGGGAAGTGACCGCTGTTTCGTTATAGTGGACCGAGACGACGGGAGGAGGGAATAAACGATTCCCTTTCGCGTCTCTCGTTTGGTGACTCAAAGATATGTCATATTACGGCAACGTTCGTTCGCTAACTGAAACTTTTAACTATTTTCTCGAGTTTATTCGCGAATGAGATAATTCTATTTCGACCCAAAGCGTTATCGAACGAACGCTACCCTCGTCATGTAAATATATATCTATATATCTTGGTATTTCGGTGATAACACAAGGTGTCGTGTAACTTATGGTACAAGACGAAGCAGCGAGAAAATGCAGATGCAAGGGAAGAAGATCCCCACGTATGGAGTATCCTTCCCCGAAAATCCCATTTTCTCTAGAACCGCTCAATTTGTTCGTCGATGTACCAATTAAATTCTGAAAATTGATTATCTCCGAAAAGAAACCTCGCACTTTCGACTATGCACGTAATAAAAATTACTTGTACCCGAAGTTGCTACACGACACGCTCTCTACAAAATGTATATGCGTAATCTGGTACACAGCTCGAATAATTTTGTTCGCTATCGATTACTCGTGAGAGGTTTCGTAAATGCTTGCGGTGCTTCGGTCGCCTAATGCTCGTAAAGAGGGGGTGGAGTGGACTTAATTGCTAGCTCTGACTAAACCTAAGTGATTGATGTATATCTCTTCGAGGTCGCACCTGTATCGACAAACGTCGTCCTACGCTTCCTCGTTAGGAAATACTTTTCTAAGCTTAATACCTGTATTCAGGCCTACGAAAGCAAACAAAGGTTAGGCGAATGCAGGTGCGACCCCATTAGTCTACGGCCTCGATTCGATATTAATCTTTGAGCGATCCTCATCGAGGGAATCTTTAAATTAGATAAATCTGAACCTGCTTGTAAAATAAGATAGAAGTTCCAGTGATGGACACTCACTTTTTCAAAGGCACTGTTCCTTGGGGCCCCTGCCCTGCGCCGTTCCTGGCGTCGGTGACCCGGCAGGCCACCATACTATACGCTGAAAGCAGTTCTACAATGTTACAAGATTATGTTAAACGGGTAAGCATTCAGGTTCACAGCCGCTCGCCCAGCTCCTGCGTTACCGGGTCGTTGTCCTCTCCTTTCCAATTCAATTGATCTCTACCGCGATTTTTAACGGAAGGTACTTTCACGTAATTCCCGACTAAATCCTTCGATCTTCGAATTACGTTTACGTAATTCACAATTGCCTCCTTCGAAGCTACGTTTACGTAACTCTCTCTCGAGCACGAGTAGAAACAAATCGCGACTCGATCGTTTATTCGAACAAAGCGGCACCAAACGATCCTTAATCGGGTTAATGCGCGAGACGTCGGCAGAGGGAAACGTGGCGAAGAAGAGGACACGACCAAGAGCCCAGGCGCAGGCCAGACTAGAAGAAACAACGAAGAATCGACGCGTGTCGGTGTTCCATCGGCGGCACGCTCCTACCTTTTTCCTGTTTTCGTCTTTTCCGCTTATTGCAAATCTTCACCGCGCATATGCTCAGGATGATCGCGACGATGAAGAAGAGTATACCACCGACGACGCCCGCGGTGATCGCCTTGTGCTTCACTCGAGCAGGCACCGGAAATTTCACCTGCTCGCTGACCCCGTAATTCTTCTCCGAGATCGAGTTGGCGTACACTTGGAAATAGTAGGTCCTACCACCGACCAGATTCTTCACTGCACCCCAGAGGACACCATGGAACAGAAAACCAGCGAAATTTCTTCGTTTAAGGATAACGATTTCATCTCGTTCGTGGTACAGTGTCTTTAATAATTAAGGGACGTCGAGAAACAACAGAGCGGCAGCGAAACAATGTCGTACCCAAATAGCTGGTTTCCTCGGGTCGGATTTGTCCCTTGTTGAGCGTTTTCCAGGGTCCGTCCGTCTTGTATTGGATGTTGTAGTGATGGATCAGGTGACTACGTTCCAGAGGAGGTTGCCAGGTGATCAGAAAACCGTTGTTGACTTCCGTCACCGTGAGATTCCTAGGAGGACCTGGCTTTGATCCTGACGATTCAAACGAGAGATTAATAGAAACGCTAGAACGAAGGACGTGTTCGATGAAGTACATGATCCAACGGCATTCGCAACGAGCTCAAGACGAGTACCGTCATTTGTTTCTAGAGCAGCGTCTCTTTGTTCGCGTGGCGCATTCCAACGCGTAATTCTGCGATTACGGGAGAAACAACGACGCTGGTAATTGGAAATACGGCCGCTAATAAGGCTGGCGAACGAGGTCCGGAAGTAATTAGGCCCGTAACATTATGCACGCGAGCGGTGACGAAAGAAGATGAGCTCACGCGTCTCCGATTCCATCGTGAACGGTTGCATCAATATCGTCGGTCCACGACCGGCCGAGACGTCGGCAGAGGGAAACGTGGCGAAGAAGAGGACACGACCAAGAGCCCAGGCGCAGGCCAGACTAGAAGAAACAACGAAGAATCGACGCGTGTCGGTGTTCCATCGGCGGCACGCTCCTACCTTTTTCCTGTTTTCGTCTTTTCCGCTTATTGCAAATCTTCACCGCGCATATGCTCAGGATGATCGCGACGATGAAGAAGAGTATACCACCGACGACGCCCGCGGTGATCGCCTTGTGCTTCACTCGAGCAGGCACCGGAAATTTCACCTGCTCGCTGACCCCGTAATTCTTCTCCGAGATCGAGTTGGCGTACACTTGGAAATAGTAGGTCCTACCACCGACCAGATTCTTCACTGCACCCCAGAGGACACCATGGAACAGAAAACCAGCGAAATTTCTTCGTTTAAGGATAACGATTTCATCTCGTTCGTGGTACAGTGTCTTTAATAATTAAGGGACGTCGAGAAACAACAGAGCGGCAGCGAAACAATGTCGTACCCAAATAGCTGGTTTCCTCGGGTCGGATTTGTCCCTTGTTGAGCGTTTTCCAGGGTCCGTCCGTCTTGTATTGGATGTTGTAGTGATGGATCAGGTGACTACGTTCCAGAGGAGGTTGCCAGGTGATCAGAAAACCGTTGTTGACTTCCGTCACCGTGAGATTCCTAGGAGGACCTGGCTTTGATCCTGACGATTCAAACGAGAGATTAATAGAAACGCTAGAACGAAGGACGTGTTCGATGAAGTACATGATCCAACGGCATTCGCAACGAGCTCAAGACGAGTACCGTCATTTGTTTCTAGAGCAGCGTCTCTTTGTTCGCGTGGCGCATTCCAACGCGTAATTCTGCGATTACGGGAGAAACAACGACGCTGGTAATTGGAAATACGGCCGCTAATAAGGCTGGCGAACGAGGTCCGGAAGTAATTAGGCCCGTAACATTATGCACGCGAGCGGTGACGAAAGAAGATGAGCTCACGCGTCTCCGATTCCATCGTGAACGGTTGCATCAATATCGTCGGTCCACGACCGGCCAGAACCAACCCGACGAGGGCGATCGTGTACCAGCTCGTTACGGCTCGTCAAGATTTATTTGCCGTCGTTTCGTTTAATTGCAAAAACCATCGGAAACAGGGGAAACCAAAAATAAACAAACAAGAAAAAAAAATAACCTAACGATCGGGGGGTAAAAATAAAAAAATAGAAAATAAAGCCTGGCTCGCGGACCGCGTTCAATTCCGACACAATATTCGCGATTATTTGCGTACGTTAAACAGCAAGCGGTGCACAGCGCGAATAAATGGCGTTCGCGATGGAAAAGTGTAGCCGGTCGCTAGGTGGCCGATATTTCTGCGATTGTTTCTGCGGTATTTACAATGTCCGTATTTGTTAACTTCATTTCCGCTACGACGAATAAATTGTCGACCACGCGAACACCTCCGTGTGCAGTAACGAACGCGTAAACGAGTAAACACGTACACACCTGTACACGCGTACGCGCATTAATTTTCCCTCTTACTGTCTTTAATCACGCTGATGCGAAAAAAGAAATATAACCGAACCTTTGATGCTGCCACGCGCCGTCAAATCATGCATATTATCGTGTTCGCAAAAAGCCGTTTGTCGACGCAATCACGTTTAACCCGTTAGTCCGACAGTCGTCGATGTTCGATATTATGAATTTCATCTGGTGAAATAACAATTTCGGGCTAACGGTTCCAAACGATAGCTCGGAAGCTCATATTGGAAAGTTAATTTTTAATATTTCGATGGATTCATGGTCGTCGGTCTAAATACTGATATTTCTACTGAGGCAGAATTTAATTTAACGCGACTGCCGCACATTCGTTCTTCGGGACACGGTGTGTTGGTATGAACCGAACGAAAGGCGCGAGTGAAAGAACGAGAAAACGAATATCTGCAGGGCGCGTAATTGGGAACGCTGGGTTGTTCGTGGTCAGTAACACGAGTGTATTATAATTTAAGATGTCTGAAACGAGGGAAAAGGAGAAAAAAGGAAATGGCAAACGCGGAAAATCATAAAAGAATCGATACAGGTGGAAAGTTGATTATCGAGGGTCGTGCCGTAATAATGGGTCGCGGAAAGAGTCCACGGAACCTGGAGGATCCTCGCGAATCCGATTCACCGGAATTCTCGTTAAGCTGGCTGTAATCGCGTTACTCGAGGCTGGCTAACGAGTTTCGAGACCGCCGATGCGTAGACGGCGACGAACGAACGTGGACGAGAAATAAAAAGAAAGACGGAAATTGAAGAAAGGTCGACAGAGGTGGACGTTCGTCGACGAAACAGAGAGGGTTACGGTAAAAGTTCAGTCGCGATACGCCGTTCGTCCGTGGATTATTAGCGACGGCGACTCCTGATCCCGAGGCCGTCCGTTATTAATATGGAAATGCTGGAAAAATGGCCGGATCGAGACACGTTTCGCTATCCCACGGGATTACGATTCGAGTACAGATGTATGAAATAAAGATTTAGAGAGATAGAGATTTACGGGCGAGAAGAAATAACGATGCGCGAATAATCGGGACGAATAATTTGAAATATTTTCTTTTCGTTCCGAGAGCGAAATAAATACCGGAAATATTCTAGGGAAAGGAAGAGAATGGACAATCGGACCTAACAAGTAACGTTCGCCGTAGGTTTTCCTAACGATCCAAGAAATTTCTCGCGGCCATCGAGTTTTTCGTTGTCTTCGAACGAGTACCGTAACGATTCGAAATTGTAAAGAATCGTGCGCTCGAAACGAAAGAGATCATTGATCTCTTCTCTGTTCTCTTATTTGAAACGGGCAACGGATAAAAATCTGTACAAGCCTGGCGCGGAAAAATCACGGTACCGTGTGTACAAATGGAAGGCAATGAACCGGCGGATTCGAGGGAAGGAAATAAAAGCGGAAACAGAATGAACGGCTCGATGGGTTTTCCGATACGATAAGTCGCGACGGAAATCTTCGTTCTCCTTTCTCTTTCACGCTGTCTCTACCTTTTTCGTGCAAAGTTTCAACGTAACTTTGAAATTGTAGCGCAGAATCGGTGTTTCCAGGGCAAAGCTCTTGGTGGAAATCGGTCTCAAGGAGAAGAAGAAGAAGAAGAAGAGCTTCCCGAGGCATCTTTACGAAATCGTTCAACCAAGATTCTTTGTTAGCGAATCGAAACGAGCCCGTTTTTAGGGAGAGTCTCTAGTCGAACGAACGGTTTCATGCTCGATCGCGTTCGAATACAAGATCTCGTCCCTTTGATTTCAGTTGCCGCTTCTATTCCTCGCCTCGACTTATTTCGATGCTGCTTTACCTTGCCCTCCTTACAACCTGAGTGCTACTTGCTCGCTTCTAATTGCAGCTATTGTATCTGTAGGTGGCAACATTTCTACCTTTCTAAGTGGTAAATCAGCATTTCTAATTATACCTCCAAGCTGTATCTACTTCGCTTCTTTTCCTTCGCGTTTTAACAACCTCGAATAATTAAAACGATCAGTTCAGAAACGAATATTTTCCAGTATCTTAATTCTTATTTGCATCGTTTTGCAAGATAATATCGAACGTTTCAACTCGTGTAACTTAAAAAGATAATTTCGTGTAAAAAGTACACGCGATCCGAAGCGATCGATGATCTTACCGTTTTGATCCGTGGCTGCAGCTTGACCCGCACTCGAGGATGGTGTTGCCGAGTTCGTCAGTGCCACGTCTTCGAGGATGAAGCGTTGGAAAAATTGAGTGAAAAAGATTGCATAGGAGGTATGCAATACATTAGTCGATTAATATGGGATGCAAGAATTCCGAAATAGTACTCTTTTACGATAGAGGGGAGTAAGAGAAGAAAGTGGTGATTACCAAGCGTCCTGACGGTAATGACTTTGCTCAACATGCCATCGCTCAGAGCGTTCTTGCCGATCACTTGGAACTCGTACAGCGTACCTGGCGTCAGGCTGTTGATCGTCACCGTTGTGCTACCGGACGGGGTCACCGGAATCGTTTTCCATTCCGACGTGCCCGACTCTCTGTACCTGCGTCAAACGAGATCGACTCAGCGATCTTTGCTCGAGAGAAATTTCGTTCCTTACAGGCAATTCGATGAAGGCGGCTCGAATCATGAGCAGCGAAGGAACTTACCAAATGGTGTAATCTTGTTTGTAATCGGGTCCGCCGGAATAACCCGGCAACCAAGTCAACGTGACCGAGAATTCGGTGGCTGTCGCGGACACGTTGTAAGGCGCGTGAGGTTGAGCGCCCTCGACGATCAGCTGCGTCGAAGCGGATATGGTAGCCACCTCGTTGGACGCGACGCATTGATAGAAACCAAAGTCGGAACGTCGAAGGCTCTCGATCGTTAAATTGCCGCCGACGATCTTGGCTCGATTACGTTGTATCGGCGCGCCGTCTCTCTAAGCAATTGAATGAAATTAATCGATTAAGCAGCGCGAACGCGGCGTTAAAGCGAGCGTACCCGATGCCATTGTATCGTGGGTTTCTGCGTGCCTTCGGCCTCTTGAGCTTCGCAATACATCTCGACGGTTTCGCCGATCTTCTTCTGATAGACCGGTTCCGGCTCGACGGTGAACACAGGCGGATTCCGTACTAGGACTTGCATCGGGCCGGAACTACCGTGCGTGCCCTGCGCGTTGTAAGGCGTGCAGGTGTACACGCCCTGATGCTTCTCATTGACCCGTGTAAACAGCAGGGAGCCATTGTTCATCACAACGATTTCTTTAGTCTGATAAGGCTCGAGCAGTCGCTTGTCCTTCGACCAGGTCACGTACTGAAGGGGTGGGTTCGCTTTTATGTAACACTGGACCACGCCGGCCGAACGGAACGGCAGGTACTGAATCGACGGCGTGAACGTCACCTTGGCTGAATCTGAAAATGGAATTACTCGGATCGTAGCGGGATCGAATGCGCCGACATTTTGGGTTACGAGTTTTCGACTAGTTGCCCTGGAACGACTGTAGGAAAGACCTACCCTTCTCTAACAGAATCACCGCATTATCGTCATTTGCTTTTCGATAGTTCTATGCTAAACGAGCGAGTCGTGATCATTTCGCCTCCGTGTCGTGTCTAACCACTTTTCAGCTTCGTAGCTACAGTCTCGGGGCGGGTCTATGCCTAGGCTACCCACAGTCGACAAATTTCCAGGACAATCGGTTAGCCGGTAAAAACAAGTCCTCGCTCACATTCCACGTTGAGATAAGCACTGGCACTCTGAGGATCACCGATGCCGTTCGTCACTTCGCAGAGGTACTGGCCAGAGTCGTCGGCGCTGACAGGATTGATGACGAGGCTGCCGTCCGCTTTGATGGATACTCTCGTGTTCAAATCCGAGACTTCCGTAACCGGAGCACCCTCGCGGAACCATCGCACAGTCACGTTACCGGGAAGAGCCTTCGCCTCGCAAGAGAATTGCACTTTTTCGCCCTCCTGCTTCGTTTGGTTCTGTGGCCGTCCCGTGATCACCGCTCCACCTGTAAACGATAACGCTTTAGTTTCTCATCGAATCGACTACTCGGATTAGGAAGGATTTTTTTATCGACTCGACGACTACTCGAATTACTTGAATTCGATCGAAGTTAAGCGACTCTCGAAAGATCGAAACGCGAACGCTATCGAGAAAGCCGGCAGAGTACAATCATCATCGACGCGAACGATTCCTTTTAGTCGACGTCGATCATCTCGCATCACCGCTACGTCGGGAAATACGTCGGCCAACCAATATCCTGATCGAAAATGATCAGTCCAGGCGCAGAAAGGGTCCGAAACGCATCGCGAAACGAGATTTTCGTTGGTCGATTGTTCATCGTTGCCAGTGGATCGCGTTGAGAACCAACGCGAAACGGCGACGTCGATAAATAAACAAATTGAAAGAGAGATGGATATTCTCCATTTATCGGGAGCCGTTGATAAATGGATCGATGATGGACGCGTTTGTTATTTCTGGAATATCGTTCGCGAGGCAGAAGGCTGCGAGGTGCAACGAGACGAAACAGAGTGTTTTCAGTGGTCCCCGTCAAAGTTTGCGTTTCGTTCGATTCACCGGCAGGTATCGCGAGCGACTGGACGAGCGAGTTTTAAATCGGATCGAAGGAGTTCCACAGAGAAGAAGAAGAAGAGTAAGAAGCGGTGAGAAAAAGACATTCGAGCGGGCACATTTTATCTAGACGACTTTTTCGCTCGAACTCTTGGCAAAAAGGATCAACAGGGTGCGCTATATCTCCATCGATATCCGAGAGCTCTCCCGCTGGCTCGAAGAATTTTAAAACTTGCGGCTTTCTAGAGGTGTCGACGACAGAGACGGAAAAGCGAGCTTCGTCGTCTTCGAGGCGAATATCTTGACGTATAATGGGAAGGAATCGATCTCGGCTGACAAAAGACCGAACTTCTTCGCGGGATTCAGCAGTGTCTTCCGCAATCCGATCTATCTTCGTTCGTCAGGAATTAAGATCGTTCCTGCGTGTCCGTGGGAACAGCCAGACACTCCGCATTTCGAAACACGGACTTTTTCGCTTCGGGAAAGACAGACTAGTCTCGACACGGTATTCCGAGAAGGATCTATTTATTTGCGTAAAATAGACGGATTGATAGTCGAAATAATTTTCTGTTCATAACGGTGTCCGAGTTAGCACTTTAGAAGGGTTGTTTCGCTTGGAAACGCTTCGTATGCGCTTTCAGCGAATCGATCGAAGACTCTCGAACTTTCCGAGGCGGCAACTTGGATGAAAATTAATCGCGCTTCGATTCTACTTGCAGGTAGCTTGTCGTAGCAGTTGGTTCCGTGTCTCGTTTCGAAACAAAGCGCCTCGAACGAATCCGCTGGTCGGAAACCGCAACCGCGAGCGTCAAACAGCGGTCAAGCTTGTTGCGGATTTTGTGACTTTAACTCGAAGCAAGCATCTTGATGAACGAGCCAATAAAACTTGCTAGCATTTCTTATCCGTCTTGCCTCTATTTCGATCAACCTAACAGATTTACTTCGTCCAAGTTAGTCTCTAGCTACGCGTTATAATTCTATTATAATATTAAATTCGATCCGTGGTGCGAAAGTCTCGAGAATCGTTCTTATTTACCTTATTATTCCGTTGAATTTTTGACACGTGCTCGGAGACGCGATGAATTCAGAAGCTCGCAGCGCGTTAAATATTCACTAGGTCGATTTAAAAGTTTTCCTTTCCGTCTCTCGACCGAAAGTTACCCGGTTTCGTTCTCGAGAGCAATAAATCCAAGATTCGCGGATCGCGCATTTTGCCAGCAAGTTCGCGGGATAAAAGAATAATCGACGATGGACATCAATCTAAAGCGGATAAAGAACCATTCGAGTTTCCTGTTTTTCTTTTCAGCCGACTGCAAGAAGATTCTAAACAGCCGGAGTTTAACGATCGTTTCCGGCAATTTCACCGTGAGAGATTGGAGAGGAGCGTCTTCGGTGAAAACGCTCGAAAGGCTCGAAACGGGTGAAACGTCGGCGCGACGGGCATGAATTTCGGAGCAGGAACTCGGTAAATATTCAAAGAGCAGATTCAAAAGTTTCACGCCGGCTAGAGGAGCAAGTTCGGCCGAGGCTCGCCAGCTCGAGGATCCTCCGCATTAATGGTGCAGTCTGTCGGCGCTGTTTTATACGCGAGGAGGATGGAGAGCCGTCTACTTTGCTAGCTCGTGACTGCGCGCCGAGACTCGAGCAGGGATGGCACGGTTTATTAGTCCGAAACTTTCGACCGTTCGTATAAATCTCGCCGGAAAGCCCGGAGAGTTCGGCGCCGCGATCCCCCGGATTTTTCGACCATCAACGATGGATCAAGAGGATCTTCGAGCGAGTCGATTACACGCTGTACCTTCCCTGAAACTCTGGATATTTCTTCGAGTGCGGTTAACTCGAGCGATCCTCCTCCGAGACCCATTTTCGAGAGACGTTGGAAAGCGATGCACCTAAACGAACACTCGATATGTCCTTTTTTCCGACAGGCTCTTACATCCTTTTACGTTAAATCGACGAGACTACAAGAGCTTCCATCGACGTGCCATTCTTCCGGTGTAAACTCGATAAGGGTTGGCGCGGTAATTATCAAAGTTTCGAGTCGAATCGACGTATCGAATCGACGAACCGTAAACCGACAAAACCGCTACAAGGAGGCGGAGAGCGCGCGTATCCGCGATGATGAAGACGAATGTTCCCGCGGCCTCGTAACGAAGCTTACAAATCTGCGCCGTTGCTGGAAAACAAGTCAGGGTCAGAGAGACAAAAAGAGCCACCCCGTCCTGGAGAACAAGACAAATCGCCTTTTAACGCGCCCCTCTGCGAGAAACATCCTAATTGGCTAACAGCTACGAGCCTCGTTTTAACCGCTTTGCCTAACGAGAGTTTTATTGCCCCTGTTTGTACCAGCGGACAATTTATGAGTTGCATTACAATCTATAGTCTTTATCGTTCGGCGGAAGAGGAAAACGTAAATTTCCAAATTTCAGAATCCTTAAACTTCCGCCGCGTTCTCGAATTACCTGATGGGTATTTAATTCGCTCGTCACCGGTTCGCGTCGCTCGAATGACCTATATTTACGATAAGAATTTAATTCGTGGAACGGTTTATGGAAACGAACATAATTTTCTATTAAATCGAGTTTAATCTCGAACGCGAAGTAATTCCGCAAACTGTAATTGCCCTTATTGACCATCGCGTCGCGTCTCTTCATATTTCCGTTCCAGCGTTTTTGCGAGATATACGTTGTAAGAATTATTGTTTCCGTTCGCCTTAACGCGGCACTTGGGATTTGCTCGGAAGTAATCCCTTCCTAGAGTACCATGAAATTATACGAAAGTCTTGGGCAGCGGCAAGAAAATCTCCCGTACGAGCTGCCTCGTCGAGGTAATAACTGAGAATTCTCGTTAATTAGAATATGCGCCACGACGGGGACACGGAAACTCGCCTAGAAGTTGAAACGGCTCGACTGGTCAATTTTACGAGCGCTGCAAAGACGTACGGAGATTAAAAGTGGCGTAAAAGTTATACCGTTACCGGGGACGGTTCCAACGCTCCCATTGGGGACGATTCTGTTAAAACGAGACTTTAAAAACTTCCATAAAATCACCGGTTAAAACGTAGCTGTCGCTGACCGGAACTTCGAGAAAGCTCTTATCGCGAGTGTGTGTTGAATCGATCCTTGATAATATTGTTCAACGCGTAAATACACGCTTTTACAGCGTATGCTAGACTCGCGTCGGATTCACGCGTATCACGCTACCGGATGTGTCGGAAAATATCTTTCACGGAATTTCGAGCGCAAATTTATACAGGTTCGATATCGAATTTGTTTAAGCGATAATCGCAAAGATCCACCGTGGTCTTTTCGATGCAAATCCAGCAACAAGAACCGTACCGTTTGTACCGAAGAATTTTCTGGCCTCGCGGTTATCGGAATTTCATTATCGACGCTGGGTCGATTACCGACTACCGAAAATATCCCGATAACTTCTAATAACTTCTAATAACAAGCCATATATTAATTATTGGCACGCGGAAAATTCTTCTCCAACCACGACATCGAACCTATCGAGTTCACTGAATTCCTCTCTAAAGCTGATCAACCAATTTCTCTCTCTATTCCTCTATATTTTCAACTTTTCCGCGTTCTATTTGTTCGCGCTGAATTTTTTACCGCGTTAAATAGTACTATCAAATTCTCGTTTATTAAGTCATGCACGATACGGTCGTTAATTCTCTCAGAAATAAAGAGATCCAGCTGAAACGTGATACGTATTTTTAGTAAAATTTGATCAACGCTCGAAGGATTAATCGAAGAAAATGAAGATTTTTTACGATTAGGTTTTAACGATTAAGCTGCAGCTGCGAAGATGAGTCTTTATTAGGTACAGCAGACGTTAATGAAAATTCTTGACAGCATCGATATTATGAAAGTGACGCGACTAAATGAAAATACGAGGTTCTTAAATAATCGTTGACGTTATATCTTGAACGGTGAAGCAGGGAAAATGTCGACAAATGTTGGAGAGATGAAATATAATAATAATACTGAATGCTATGTAGAGTGGTCATTAATCAATCGAATTCCATTAAAGTTGTAATTCTTTTATTCCATCAATTAAAACTAACGTGTTTATAAAATTTACATTTACACCACGTTTCGCGTATTGTTCCGGTCCTCTTCGGCTACTTTATTTCCACGTCATTGAGTGTCGTCGTTCGTTTTTCGAGAAAATGGAAAATACCGAGAGTGTTAGGTAGAGGAGGCTTTCGCACCGTTGTCGCTCCTAACGTCTAAGAAACAAGTTACTTACCAGCGATCATGACGCGAGCCGTGTGACTGATCTGACCCTCTCCGTTTCTCGCGATGCACGTGTAGTCTCCGATGTCTTCGTCCTTGATATTCGAGATCCTGAGCTCTGTACCGTCGTTGAATATCCCGATGATAGACGACGGTTCCACGGGATTCGCATCCTTGTACCACAGGATCTCCGGCGTCGGAGTACCTTCCGCTTGGCAGTTCAATATTATCCCGTCGCCTACGTTCACGTAGATTACTTCCTCCGGCGTTATGCTGAATTTCGGTGGCGCTGTAGAAACAAACCTCACGTTTTTATCCGTCCGCGAGAATCTCGAAGCTACTAAAATATCGTAGTACACGTTTCGTGAATCAGGCTGACGAGTGACCCGGTTAAAATGCGTCGTCGGTATACGTCCCTGTTGATTTACGTCTTCAAAGTCGCTCGTTCTGTCGCGCTTAAAAAGGATCGGCGAATTTTTCCGAGTATCAAACGAATCCGTTGGAAATTCTTTGGAAGAAAAATCGGTCGAATCGGTGTCTAGGGGAAGAAGAAAAAGAGACAAACAAGGCCGAAGGCGCAACGAACGAAGGCAGGGGCAACAGTTTACGAGTGTAACATGAGCAAACGACCGGACAGAGACGACTTCAAAAGTACAAAGAGACTGGAAGCGCTTTCGCTAGCCGAGTGGGTTCTCTCTTTGACGCCGCTGGCAAATCCTTAGTCGTCGCAATCGTTGCGTCGACGTTACTGTCATTCTTGTCGTCGTCGACGAGAATGACGTGGTCGAGTGTGGCCCCGTGGGCTCGCTGTGGACGAGGAAGAATAAAAAAAGAAGAGGAAGATACACCCTAAGCCATCTAAATGCTTCTCTCCCCGTGGCTGTTCGTTGTCGTTTTATGACCGAACAAAACGCGGCAATAAGTTTTCCCTTTTTTCTCTTCTTCGTTTCTATCGCTCGGTTCAATGACCCGTTCTCGTCGTCAACGCCGACGTAAAATCCCTTCGGTCCAGTTACTCGAATTCGAGTCGTGTCGATTCGATTTGCAAATTATACAACGGTATATACTCGTCTCGCTCTAATATAGTACAGCGGAAGCTTAGCGGAAATCTAGCGTGGAAACCTCGTCGTATTCCTCTTGTATCCGTCAGGTTTATCGAATTTTCTCGTTTCGTTCGACGATGTAAAAACTCGCGAAGCCTCGACGAAAAAACGATCGTCGTAAAAAAGCACGTCGCTACAGGCTCGGTCGTAAAATGTCCTTAAAACACGAGGTAATATTAATGAGGCTGCTTCGAGATGGAATCGATGTAACTTTTACGAAGCTCAGTCGGATAGAAGAAAGTTTCCACTTAAATTGCGTTCGCGAGAGAGAGCGTGCCTCTATTACCCGTAGTTAAGTCCTTTTTAATCGATCTCGCGACGTCGTAATCGCATTCCTGGTCGCTAAAAGTCTTCCAAAGTGGAAATTTCTTTGCGAACCGTTCCAACTTGAACGGTAACTTCCTCGACGTAAATGTAATATAGCGTTCGATGAAGTTTCGACGTCAGCCGACGGATCAGGAATCGAGCGATTGAGCCGATCAATCGTGCAGAATATTCTGAACGCGGAAACACGGATGCCTGGATTTCGGTGAATCATTTTCTTCTGATCGAATTAACGGAGATGCTGACCACGAACGCGTCCGAGCACGACGATAGTTCGATAAGCCTAATTTGCAAATTTCCGCAAATTTGCTCGTCTTTCGCTGGGAGAGTCAGCAAATGTACCGTGAAAGGGTTCGCTCGACGAAAGGATTATAGACCCGATGACAATAAGAGATACTCACCATGAACATCCAGGTGGAACCAGGTACCGTTTTTGTGACTATTTGGCGACCTGTTGAGGAAGACGACCTTGCACTCGTACCATCCTTGATCGCTTTCACGGATGTCGGTTAGGTTGAGACTCGCCACTCCGTACGGCGAATTCGGGCTCACCCTCGAGACTCGACCTTCGTAACCCTCGCCACTGTGGGTCGGGTACGACTCGTACCATATGTATATCGGTATCTCCTGCCCCTTGCACCAACACCAACACGCAACATAAACGAAGGATCGTCATGAACGCGTACATGCTGGTGCGAGACTCTTTTATTCGAGACAGGTTCCGCGACAGATTCGACCAACATCTGCTCAACCAATATTCTTAGATCTCTAATGCCTCAGAAGTGTCAATGTGTATACGGTAATCTACTGTAATTACGAAGAAAAAAATTCATGTCACGCTAAAATCGTTCGAAATGTTGTGCACAGTCGAACGATAAAATCGTAACAAGAAGCGTTCGAGTCGAGCAGATCTGGTCGAGAAAAAGGAAGATGTAGATGCCTCGAAGAAAGCAATGGAGATGCGAGTTCGTGACGGGACAAACGATAACGGATAGTTCATGCTCGCACCAGATGACGACTGATGAAATGACAAATGACGAGATAGAGGATGCAGCGTGTGTGAAGAGCGGAAACGATCTAAGGCCGCGATTTGTCGTCGAGTTGGCAAGCTTCTTCTGCGCGCGAACGGCTGAACGTAACGAGGACACGGTGTCCTTCTTTTCTCTAATTCGACGCGGCGGAAGAGGAATCCTCTGAAATTTTTATGCTCGTTACGTTCGCCCTGCTCGAGGACGTCACGACAACTGTCATTTTCCATGCAACCCTCTACGGGCAAACAAAGGGGCTCGCTTGTGCACACCGATGAAAAAGTAATCCCCAGACAGAAGCATGCGTGAATAGAGAAAAGACGGTGCTGGAAAACGAGACAGGACTCGAATGTTTGACGAAACTGCGTGAAACGCGTGCAACGCAAAACCGATCATCGATCTCGGAGCACTCTTTGCGCATTGACCTTTTAACGCATTCTAGAAAATTTAACGCTAATTTTTTACCAAGAAATACAGGAGTTATTTTTCATAAATAACGACACGAAAAATGTTTCGTCGCGCATCGGTGGTCAACGAGAATCGCGTTTAATTAGTCGATTGTAGTTTTTCAAAAGAGCGAAACAACTTCCTTATCGAGAATCGATGATCGTTGCTGTACGGTACAGTAAAGTTCGTAGCAGGAGAAATGGGTGTTAGAGGCATGCAAACAATGGATCGATACTTCCACGGTGAATAGATAAGGAACGATTGTTTGATCGATGTTCCGATTAGTTTCGATCATGTATACAAAAGCTACGATTCAATTACACGTATTTGAAAACTCTAATTCGGTAAGTGCTTAAGAGTCGTCAGTTTTTATCTTATCTTTGATTACGCTTTGTTGTATTAAAGTTGTTCGTCGTAGCCGTTTATGGAATAAGTAAAATGTGTAAAAGACGTAGAATAGTAAAAGCAGTTTCTAGACGATCATTTTGACCCCGATTTATAGCTCGGTCGCTTGATTCGAGCGATGCTTATCGAAAGCGAGCGATATACGTGTCGAGAGGTAAGAAATCGTTCGTAGAAACGGTAGACTACTCGTGTCTGGCACGAAACGGGGCTATTCTACTGGCGCTCGTTTCGCGCCGAGTATAACACGTTAGCTACCGCACTGAAACTCGACGTACGAGTATCCCACACACCCATAGCCTTTACGATCTTGCATTATCATGCGATTTGTCTTCCTTTTCCGTTTATTAACGCATTCGCTGCCGGGCTGAAAAACGCGTCGCGTGCTCGGCAGCGGATTCGTTAACGATATTCGATGGTGAACGAAAAGCAGAAGCGAAAGATCGAAAAAAACAAGAAAGAAAAAGGGGAATTCGAAGGAGCAAGAAAACTCGCAAACGTGCCGTGACGATCGTACGGTGGCCATTGACTGCCCCAGTTGACGGTTTCTATTTCGAGCTGGCCTACTTGCGACGACGAACGGCGTC